GGTCGTCTGTGATCTTTATAACCGCTGGTCACTTTGTACCTTCATGATACCACCAATACATTACATACACATGGACTAATGATCTCCTTTTTTTTTAAATATTGACGGGCTACAAGATGGATATGGAAACGGTCATGGGTATGTGAGCACGCTTTGGATACCAAATATCGTGATAACATGCATCAGCATCAATACTCACACCCCCAATCCCCCCCTCCCCCCCCCTCAATCAACGCAATAAAATGTCCCACCCATCCACCCATGCAAACCATTCTCCCTACAATCCCCCCTCTCCACCACAATATCCCACAATATCCGCCAACACAATCCCCCAACCCCATCAATTTACCCATCATTCACACAAATCTATCGTCCCAGACCCACCACCACAGATCCACCATCCCCCTCCAAACCCCCTCTACCAGCACCAGAGAAATCCAGTCGCGGGACGGGGAAAACGGGTGTGACTGGTGCGCATGTGGATGGGGATCCAGACGGGGTTTGTGCGGAAGAAGAGGCGGAGTGTCCAGGGCGTCGTTTAGAGAGTGGTTTAGAGGGAACGGGGAGGTTAAGGGGGAGTGCTGGAGGGTGGAGGGACGGTTGGAGCTGGGGAATATATTTGTGAGGGAAGGGCGTGTGCTTTTAATCTTGATATCGGTATTTCAACGCTGAATTCACCGGGTGAACAAGATGGATATGTTCTACCATGCGGATTTAACAGCGAAACAGAGCCGCGGATTCATCGCCAGCACGGCCGTCGAAAGACTTGGGGTTGGGCAAAGGCGCGCAGAGGGAAGGAGAGGTGGGGAGTATGTGTTTCTTGGGTGGGAGGGGCTTAGTCGAAGGGAGTTGAGGGATTCGGGATATGCGAAGACTGGGTGTCGCTTGATGATCCAGTTGGTGGAGTGTTGAAGATGTTCTGGTTGGTTGCGGGGTGTATAATGAATGGTGGAGGGAATGGATGGATGTGTGGTGGTGGGGTTGATAGAGCTCCGGTTAGACCTTGGGGAGGTGCGTGAGTGTTATGGGAATTGGAACTAGGAGAGATGTCGCTGTTGTGTGGAGGCTCTCTGGAGAGAGTGTGACCAGGAGCGAGTTGTGACTGACGAGGGATCAACGAAATCGTTCCCCTGGGACTCTCTCCTGCCAGTTGACCGGTTCCCAGTGGGCTGTGATTTATTGAAGACGTATCAAAGCGCCCGCCATTTGGATATCGACCTCCCGAGAACGCATTTCCAGGCGATGGGACAGCGCCAAAGAGACTTCCTGTCGAATCTGCGAAACCACGACGTACATCAGTGGCAGACTGAGCTCCATGCCCAAACCCAGCTGAACTACACACATTGAAAAAGGGACCACGTCCGCCCACAGCCACATGTCCGTCAAACCCCAAAGACACATCCTCTGCCGGGAAGACGAGACAGCTGCACTCTGCATATTTGCGACGGGCTGCATAGTCCGCAACTCGAGCCTCTTCAAAGGACACGCTACCCAGCGCGGACTTGCAACCCAGCTCAGGTGTGATTGTCATGAACTGGCTTACACTCCCATCGGAGGCCTTTAGAAGCGGGTACAGGCCATGTTCTGGGATGCCACAGCGAGTTCCAGCACCCGCCGACTTGCACACTGTATTCTGCTCCCTACCGAAGCCAGCAACTACTGGTACAGGCGACTCGGAAGCCAAGCTGCGAATGACAAAGATGACAGGTTTGACGCGAAACGTGCCCATCAGCGTGACCAAATCCAAAGCTGCACCAAACTGGACCACCACGAGGCGTTCAAAGGGCCGCTTGATGCCCTCTTGGATGAGGCAAATTTGCTCTGGAAGCAGTGCGCCCACTGCGCCGAGAATATCAAAGTCTGGCCCTAGTTTGGTGACGTGTGCTTCCAGAGCTGCCTCGTCGAGGTGTAGACGCTCGATCTTGTAGCTCCAGTTGAGGCTGTTGGGAAGACTGGAGGCACAGGGCCGGAGGATGTAGGCTTCGTATGTGAACTTGGGTGCGGGTGTGCGGTGCGGTGTAATTTCCTCTGTGTTAATGGAGATGGGAGACTTGTCTTTGGAAGGTTCTGGTACTGCAGGTCCCGATGCCTTTTCACCTGCGCCGTTTGTTCGGTTCCAAAGGGCGTCGACGCGTCGTTTAAGGTCCTCAAAAGCCTCATTTGGCTGTTCGCCATGTTCAATACTGAACGGGGTCACGCCAGCAGGTCCATGAATAGAAGAATCTTGAGGCAGAGGCGACATTGTAGAATGCTTTTCCACTGTGCATGTCGGCTCTGGCTGACCAGGTTGATTGGGATGGTTCTTCATGATGAAAGCCGCTTTGAGTGAGCTTGAACGGTAGTAAAAAGCACGGCAGTTGCGCCAGCTTGATAGTGATTTGCTCAGGTGGATAGGATAGAGACAGCTGCGGACGGAGTTGGTGTTTATATACCTTATGGTATTCCGCAAGAGACATGTATATGAAAACCAACCTCAGCGCGTTTGCTCGTCAGTGATCAGCAAAGATAGCTTTAACCATAGCAACATGAAGTGAAGCAAACGTCCCCGACCACGAGCTTTGCGCAGGCCATGTTCATGCGCCTTTGAGTATTGTCGTTGCGTTTGCAGCTGTGAAAGACAGTAGTCAGTGTTGTCTATGCATGTGCCATTGATGACTTCCATCTCTTTCCACCTTGCTTCAACACAACAAGGCGTGGGAGTACCACAGACCTACCTCAAGCAGTCCCAATCATAGTGAACAGTCCCATCATCCAGAAGGAAAAAAGAATGAACTGACAATCAGACAAGAAACAACATCAACACTTACCAGAAACAAACAGACAAGCTACAAGCCATCATTAGCCACAGCAACCACGCGCGTTGAACAGATCCACGACCTCACATCACCTCTATAAGAACCAACTATAGCGTCCCACGAAGGTTTAAAAAATCCTCCTGACGTCTGTAATCGAGTGAGGAATGTCAGATCAACTCGTCCTGCAATCTTTAGTACTAGTACTAGTACACTTTAACCCCTACCGGGAAAGTCCATTCTACAAGCAAGCACGCATATAGATACCTAGATGCCTAGATAGATGGCAGTCGTAGTAGTACCACACCCAGCCACACCCAGACTCAGGTTCTTGTTACTCAAATCACACGTGGCACAAAGAGACGACGACGACGACTAGGACAGGCAGGCAAGGTGGAAGGTAAAAGGAGGGGGAGCGTAAAGGAGCCAGACGAAGCGTGCAGGCGGAAACTGGTTCGTGGTCTTGTAGCACCTGCGTAGGATGATGGGTGGACTGGCGTGGGTGGGTGCTTGTGGCGTGGCCTGAGGTGGAGCAAGCAGTCAGCCGTGCTTGTTGGGGACAGCTGCTGTTCGCGATTCAGGGGCAGATGGGAGATTTGTGTGACGGTCATGGCACGCGTTGTGTGCAAATTTTGTTTGTACAGGGAAGCAAAAGGTAAATCATGTTTGATGAGTGTGATTATCATTGAATTTGTGTACTATCTACCGGCGCCAGGGTCGGGTCAGTTCCCGTGCATTTCCCATAGAAGGGGGTATCAAAGCGTCCGTGGAAACACAGAGGAAAAGATCAAACGCCGGCACGCTATTACCATCGTAGTTGTCGTCATGCCATTCGTGTCGAATAAAAGGAACAAGAAGAGGAAACAAAAAAGTCAACCATGCATCTGAATATCCAAAGTCCACCTGCCATTAAGGTCACCTGTCATTATGCACATTACTCCACCATGCAAGGACGTTGGATAGGCGTTCCAGGAGGTTGCTTAGAGAAGGAGCCATGCAGCGATACCAGCGGCACCAGCGAAGGGGAGGCCGGTCATCTTGGCGGCACCACCAGCCGAAGTCTCAGAGGCAATGGCGCTGCTGGCAGCGGAGCCGAGGCTACCAGTGGCAGAGGCGATGCGGGAAGAGGCATCGGACTGGATGCTGTTGGTGGCAGATGCAAGGGCATCGCTGGCAGAGGACTGGGCAGACTCGAGAGCAGACGAGACAGAGGCAGCGACGGAAGAGGCATCACTCATGAGCGACGAGACGAGGCTGGATGCTGAGGCAGTGGCACCAGAGGCCTCGCTGGCAAGGCTCGAGGCAACGCTAGTCATACCGCTGGCAGCGCTTCCCGTGGCAGAGGGAACAGCGCCGGAGGCACTAGCGACGGCGGAGGTCAGGATGGGGAGAGCAGCAGGGATTGAGCCAGAGGGAGCGGCGTCTGGAGAACATGATCAGCAACCAGATTGGAAAGACTGTGGGGAGTGGGTCTTCTTACTGCTGCACTGGCCAGCGGCCCAGGTGACGGCCTGAGCAGCCTCTTCAGCACCACAAGCCTGCGCAGAGCAGTCGCGGACGCCATAGGCCCAGTTGGACTGGTTGCAAAAGCAAGCCAGGTCACCGGCGCCACAGCTGAACTCGGTGTTGGCAATGCGAGCCATGTTGTCGGCGCACATTTGCTACGAGGGCGAGTTAGCGTTGTTTGGCCAAAACAAGTGTTGCGCACTGGAATGCGAAGGGTAAACACTTACAGCACATGATCCAAGGTTCTGGGCAACGGCGGCACCAGCAACGGCAGCGATGATAGCGTAGGACCTCATGTTTGACGACGGTAGGGTGATGATGTTGGTGTTGTTGGTGTTGTTGAAGAAGAAGAAGAAGAAGAAGAAGAAGAAGAAGAAGAAGGAAGAGAGGATGATGTAAGAGGTAGAAGCTAGGACGAGATAGTAGCTATGTAGGGGTGAGAGGAGCTTTGGGGTCGAGCAAGTGGCTTCAAAGGTGGTGGTGATGTGGATTGACTGAGGATGCTTGGTTGAGAGGGAGGGGAGGGGGAGGAGAGGATGGGAGGGGGAGAGGGGCGATAGGTTTATATTGTGTCCGGTGGGTGTGAGTGTGAGTGTGAGTGTGTGTGTGTGTGTGTGTGTGTGTTAGGCTAGTAATTGGGGCAGGAGGGCAGGCGCGTGAAGGAAAGAGATGGGCAGTGGCAGGGCAGCGCACCTTCCCTGCCAAGTGCAATGGTACGCTACCATGACAATAAGCTGTTTACTAGCAGTGTAGTAGTGTAGAGTACAAACAAGGTCTGCAGTGACGGCAGGCAGGCGCGACAGGGATGTGCCAGGCACGATCGACGCCAAATCAAGGAACAGCGAAAACCAGCTCCCGGCCCCGCTACCCTGTGATTGGCCAATGGCTCGTCTTCTCCATACTTCTTGGCCCGCCCTAGATCGATTCCGGCGATTAGCTCGACTTCCTTCTCTCTCTCTCGCCCTCTCTCCCGCCTTCTCTCGCCCCTCTTGCTCGTTCCAAGCTTTTCGCTACACAAAACATTCACCTCGCCCGTCGCCGACTAACCGACTTGCCCCTGTCATCAACCTCCTTGGCCCTGTCCCAGCTCACAAAGTTGTCATCGCAACCGACTTCCCGAGCGCGAGAGCGTCATACTACCCGCAAAAATCAAATCCTGCAACGCACAGTCTGTCTGGTTGCACGCAACACTGCGCTGGCCTCGTGGCACCAGCTGCTGCTCTGCTGCTGTTGCTGTTACCCACTTCGCTCGAGTTGTGCCGGCGCTTCTCAGTCGCCCGAGGGGTTGGAAAACGCATTACGGTGGCAAATGAGGCCTAATCTTGTTTTGCAGCCAAACAGCGCCTCTTGCGGCTTGCCCGCTCTAGGTGACGTCGCAAAATGCTAGGGCTTGAACCCTGGCTAGCCTGTGTACCATGCACTATCAGCTCCTATGTGTGTTGCTGTACGTGTAGAGTACGTACAGTAGCAAGTACGGTGCCGGACACACAGTACGAGGACCTACTGTACTCTCTCCGTGCATACTATCATCCTTGCCATGTACCGAGGTAGGCTCGCAAGATGCACCGCTCGCCTCCATCACCGTTCATTTCGTTTCACAACCGCTCATGGCCTCAATTTCCCCACGTTGTGTAAGATGGGAGATGGCGGGCGCCTCAGGCATCACGGCAACCATCATCTTCTTGGGTCGACCGATGGCTAGGCGGCTCTACATATCCATGCTTGCACATCCCCCAGGATGGGACCTCGACATGTTACCTGTTGAAATACCGGTGACCTCAGTTTCATCTCATCTTCCTAGTAGTACCATATCGTAGATTTGCGCAAACCTTCGCCTGGCCTGACGCTGCCCCATCTACTGTACTACCCAGGTAGGGCTTCAAACCTTGATCCAGCCCACAAACAAATGACCGTCCGTCTCTGGTCCTGGTGGGCGGGTGCATCCACTTCCATCTGGACCAGAGCTGCTCCAGTCCCTCTCCAGCCCCTTCCTTGCCGGCCCAATCGTCCACCAGTCAGCCAGCCTCTCCCTGGAGCGCCTGCACCTTCCCAACCCCATCCCATCCAGATTCCGCCACAACAAGCCTCAACAGTCCCCTGCGGCGCAGACCTGCTCTACCCAGCCACACCCAGCCACACCCAGCCACACCCAGCCACAAGGAAAATGCCTGTCTTTGCACTATTTTCCACTTGCCCCTTCGTCTTCACCGTCTGTCTGCTCGACCAGATACTTCTCTTCCGCCGACGTGATGCACTGCGTGTTCGCGCCTTTTCACCCAAGAACAAAAAAGTCGGTCAGCTACCGACTCATGGGAGAGATCTCCTGTCCAAAAAAAGGGCAGAATAACTCACCGAGTTTGTTGATCGTCTCCATCCACTCATCGTAAGGGTCCGAATCGAACACGATACCGCCCTGCGTCCACCAATCCATAAGCATCATCTCCTCCACATGGTAATTTCAAGGGAAAATCTCGTCAAACTTACCCCTGCTTGGAGATACGCGACGCCATCTTTGACCAGCATCGTGCGTAGCGCAATGCATGTCTATCACTCCCATCAGCCACAACCCCAACCGCTAGCAAGGTTGGCACAAATCCACTCACATCCATTGCCCCCTCGATTTCCTTGTCCCCATCCACGCTCCCATAGCCAAAGTAGCCCACAGCCCCGGCATAGACACCGCGCTTTTCTTTCTCCAGTTCGGCGATGAGCTCCATGGCCTTTACCTTGGGTGCCCCGCTCACCGTCCCTGCACACAGCACGATAAGCATGAATAGTGAGAGTTATGCAGACACACCAACACCAACTTACCGGCGGGGAAAATCGATCGGAACGCATCGAATCGCGTCTTACCAGGCCGCAGCACCCCTGACACTTCCGAGACCAGGTGTTGTACGTGCGAAAACTGGTTTCACACAACGTTAGTAGCTGCGTGAAGTTGACTCCAGGTCTGCTGGCCTTGTTCGCGGGAGACAGCATGAGGAAAAAAAAACAGGGTACCTTTTGGACAACCATCAACTTGTCGACTCGTGTTGTCAGTGGGTCGCACACGCGATTGACGTCATTGCGCGCTAGGTCGACCAGCATCACCTACAGCTTCAGGTAAGCTTTGCGTCTGACAGAAGCTTGGAAAGGAGGAGCCTCACGTGTTCGGCCCGGTCTTTGAGTGAGTTGGACAGCTCTTCAGCCAAGGCGGCATCTTCTTTCAAGGTCTTGCCTCGCTTGACCGTTCCTGCAATGGGATGCGTGATGATTCTGCCCTGCTCTTCCTTGACCAACAACTCTGGACTTGCGCCCACAATTTGGAAGTCGTCACAGTCGACAAAGAAGAGGTAGGGCGATGGGTTGACGTTTCGCAGATTTCGATAAATGTTGAAGGGGTGCAGTGAGGTGGGCCTGGCAAAACGCTGGGACGGTACCGCCTGGATGATGTCGCCCACGTCGATGTGCTTCTTCAAGTTCTTGACATGGTTTTCATATCCTTCCTGGCCAATGTTGGAAGTATACTCGTTTCCGATTTGGATCGGGCCTTGGTGTGGCAAAGGGATGTCCTTGTCCGACAAGATGGTCATATATGTCTGAATGGTAGCCTTTGCGTCGTCGTATGCGCGCTCGAGGTCGTCGAGATTGTCGGGAACCTTGACGTAGGTGATGACCTTGACCGTCTGCTGGAAATGGTCGAGGGCAACCAGGGTGTCGAAGAGCATGAAGAAGCTCTCTGGCACCTTGAGGATGTCCTTTACGTCGTCTCGCCTTGTCTTGGGCTCAAAGTACTTGACGCAATCATATCCCACATAACCAACCGCACCACCAGTCATTTCAGGGAGTTGTATCGAGGGCACGATTGCGACTCGGCTCTTTGCAAGCTCCTTCTCAAGGAGTGGGAGGGGGTCGGTTGCTTCGCCATGGCCGGGGCCCGTCTTGATGACCTTTCGTGGATCTACACAAGGGCATCAGCAAAGGCAGCGTGGTGAAGTGGATAGTTTCTTGCTGACCTGCGCCAACAAAGCTGTATCTGCCAATCGTCTCTGTAGTCGCGGCCGTCTCGAATAGAAAGGACAGCCTTGACTTTGCCCTGATTCGCGACTCGTCAGCCTCGCCAATGCGCGACAGCGCTCCAATTCGTCATGTCATGAAAACGCACCTTGCAGCAACCTTGAGGTATATGCTCGTCGGAGTCAGAAACTCTGCAGAGATGGACGAGAAGACGGGAACGAGGTTGGGTGGGTTCGGGGAGTTGGCTGCAGCAGCCAACACTTGGCGTACGGTATCGAGAGAAGGTTGGATGCCTAGCTGTGTGTGTGTGGTTGTGGGTTCAGTATGCAGTGGGGTACCCCTCTTTACGGCCAACCGACACCGTTGTGAAGATGACATACCTGGGGCGCCATGATGACTGATTTCCAAGTGAGCAAGTGAGCAAGTCGAGACTGTGTGAATAGGGTACCTTGATTGTACTACCGTACCTCCTTCTTTGCGCTCACTGCAGCCAATCGGTAGTCTGATGGGCAGAAAAACGGAGTTCCCGTGCTCTTTTGGATGGCCCCGCCCCTCCCAACATGCCAAAGAATTTACTACAATGCAGGAAAAACACAGACCAGGCGGACGTCTCCCGGGCACGTGATCCGGGCACGTGATACAGACACGTGATCCAGACACGTGATCCCCACACTCGGACATCCATCGATGGATTGAACCACGAGCTAGACCAGACTTTGCACAGTTCCAAGGCCCGCCAGCGCGTCATGCACCAGCCACTCCGTGATACTTGACAGGAAACAAGTCACCGACTAGGCCACGACTGGCCACGACTGGCTGCGCGACAAGAGGCCGTGGACACTGGACACTGGACAGCAAAGCCAGAGCCCGCTTTTCTCCCGCCTCATCATGAGGACCTGTTGGCTTTTCCTCACCGTATGGTCGATCATCGCATAACTGCGCGTTTTCCTCTTCATGTTCATCCGCCCACAGTTCTCGCTTCCTTTTTTGCTGTCTTCTTGCTTTTCTTGCCATGTCTAGTCATCTGCGCGCATAGTGAGCGACTCGTCTGTTCTGCCGCCCCTTGACCCGTACAAAGCGGTCACGGCTGGGTTTGGTTATGCGGCACCCGCGCGCTCCTTGCTTCAACAGCGCAATCGAGTCTCCGCTCGGCATGGCACGGCCATGGACCCCCCCGCATACTGATACCGATGTCGACCACTCGACTTCACACCACCATTACTTTACTGACCCATACCGGCCGGCCCATGGTGAATATACGCCCGTGACGGAGCCTCGCTGGTCGTCGCATCGTGGAGCCGCCGCCAAAGAGGACGAGTACAAGGGTGTGGGTGTGCGCGCGCGATGCGATACCCCAACCGAGCACCACCATCACCACCACCACCATCTACCCGTACACCATGCGCTACCAACACCCAAGTCGGCAGTTACAGCGCCCGTCGCAGTTCCCTATACACCGACCAAGTCGCAACAACAAGTGCAGCACTCTGGCCTGCATTATGGAAACGCCCAGGCTCAGGGACTGCCGCGCTATCCTTATACACCGGATAGCACGCGCATCCCCCGTCGACAGACCGAACGCACCCTCTCGCCTGTACCCTGGGACACACACTCGTCGCACTCTTCTTCGCCGGTGCAACACGCCTTGTCATCATGCATCGTCCACTTTGAAAATCTACTGCAGACACGCGAGCCGGATGAAGATCAAATGGAATACATCGTCGGCCAACTCGAAGCCATGGCCAACTACCTGTCCTCACATGGCGCCCCGTTTCAAATCATCGAAGAGCAGGTATCCACCAACGGACAACTACCCACTGACGAGCAAGTATCCACCGCGCCCGAGGAGATTGGGCCAGGAAGTCCACAGTCCAGCGGCAAGGACAAGGTCGAGAAGGAGATGAGTGGAGAGTATATCGCAGAAGTGGGACGGTATATCGAGGGTGTACGGGGCTATGCTACCAATTTGAAGTCGCGGCTCGATGAGGTCAAGATGCTGAATAGTATCCAACTCGACGTCATCAAGGACCTCCGGAGTCAAGTGCAAACCGTCACAGTGGGCCTACAGGCACAGCTCCGCGCAGACGAAGACAAGCACGCAGCCGAAGAAGACGAGGATGAGGTCGAGGACGAGGTCCGGATCGAAGACGAGGAAGAAGATTGCCCGGCAGATGCGTATTCCCGCCACCGCCAAAACAAGGGCCAACGACCTCGAGAATTCGGCCTCGACTCCCAGGCAACCCTGATAAACCCCTCCCTCCCATCCTCACAAATCCTCTCTCCTCCTCCTCCTCCCCCTCCTTCATCACCAATACTGGCCAAAAGCTCTCCTACACTCTCTTTGAAGCCACACAAGTACCAATTTCTCGATCCATCTCCAGCTCCCGCCCAGCCCCATATCACCCCCACCTCGCAACCAACCCACCATCACCACCACCACCACCACCACGAAATCATCACCATCATCCGCACCCCACCCAAACGCAGTTTCTGGGCCTCTTTTGCAACAGCCCTGGATCAGTTTGGCGATTTGTTTTACGAACAGACTGGGGATGCGTGATATCTGGCGACTGTCCATGGAAACTTGTGACAAGGAGGCTTTGGAATTCCGATATGTGCGAGTGTGTGCGATAAGCGGGTGTGGAAAGGAGATGGCAAAGAATGGCGGAAGAGGATGGAATACTATATTAATGAAGTCTACGATGTCTACGGCTATGCGGATTTTGTTCATGATGGTCGGGTTTGTGTTAGGATGGGACTGGGAGTGTTAGCGGATAGATTGGCTGGTACTGGTTTAATCGCCATGAGGGATATAGAAATGAGGGGGATACGGTGCAGTACAGTGTGATTGTGGTTGGCCAGTTTGTTCCTTGCATAGCGATGGTGCTTTGCGATTTTCCTTGTCCTCTTTCTTTGTCTTCCCTTTTTCGTTTCCCTTATTCCATTTCCTTTTCTTTTCCCCTCCATCTTCTTTTCATCTCTCTCCTTTACCTCACTTTTTGGCCCGTTGTTCATCAACATGTGGCTCCACGTTTTGCTGGAGGTTGAGATGCACACTGCTGGCTCCATCATCGATGGAGCACTCGACGTTATCCTTCTTACTATTGTCTAAGTTGAGTCGAGCCCTCGGCTGATCAAGAAGTCAGCTAGCCTTGTGGTCTTTAATGTCTTTGGACACGGTCCCAGATCTTATCCAGAGTAGCGTCGCTTTTTCTATTTCTTTTGCATTTGCATTTGCTTTGCACGTGTCAAGCAAAGTACTCGAGTACTACACTACCGTACATACTACATCTCTAGCTATTTCATTACCTCATGTCCCTATCTAAATATCCACATATCGCAATCCCATCATCTCTCATCCCGGCATACGACATGACGCATCAAATCATGCTTGTCATTAATCTACAACTTGGACCCGCCCGTCATAGCCGCTCCATCCACCCTGTTGCCCTCGCGATCAAACCAAATCTTCTGCCCAGACCTCAAACTTTCCTGCAACGCAATCCCGATCCGCACTGCCTCGACACTACTCTTCAGATCCACCGGCACCGTCTTGTTCTCGAGCACCGCCTCGGTAAACTGCCGCGCCTCCTCCACAAATGCCATTTCAAATCGCTCAAAGTAATTCTGCGGAATCTCGCGATTAATCCCCGTGCTCGTGTGTCGTTCCAGCATATCGATCGTCGGGCTCGCATTCACCGCCAACTTGCCCTTGGTCCCCACAATCTCCGTCATGTCGTGCTGGCCCGGTGCATTCATCCGCGAGCTGAAGAAGTAGGCAATCTGGCCGTCGTAAAACTCGACAACGCCGACCCCGTTGTCCACGTCGCCGTATTGCGCCAGTTCGGGCTCGAGCGCCGTCACGCCAACTGCGACGACGGATTTTACGACTGGGAGCTGGGCGCCGCGTGAGGCGGCGCTAAAGTACCACAGTGCGAGGTCAATGTCGTGGATGTTGCAGTCGACAAAGATCCCGCCGGAGAACTGGGCGTATTCGACGAAGAAGCCAGACGGGTCGTATTTGTCGCAGGTTTGGGAGCGGATGATGGTCGGGCGCCCGATGTGGTCGTTTGTGACGAGTTGGTAGGCGCTCGAGTAGGATTTGTCGAAGCGGCGGGAGAAGCCGCACATTACTTTGATGTGGGGGTGGCGAGCGGCGACTTCAAAGACTTGTTGACACTGTGGGAAAGAGGGGTGGAATGTTAGTTTTCCTCTGTGGTTCGGGTGGGGGTTTGGGTTAAGGAGAGGGGGTTCAGCTTGGATAGGGGGGGAAGGGAGAAAGGATACATACGACTTCCAACTTTGTGCTCAACGGCTTCTCACACAGCACATGCTTGCCCGCCTCAATCGCCTTGATCGTCTGCTCCGCATGCACCGTGGTCACAGTGGCAATACAAACCGCCTCCAATCCCTCATGCTTCAACATCAAATCATAATCCGAATAAATCTTGACCCCCCACGGCTCCAAGTTCTCCTTTGCCCAGGCCTGCTCCTTCGCGTCCGGCGTAAAAGCCGCCACGAGTTGAGCCCGAGGTGTGAGGTGGAGAAAATGGTCCGCATGTCTGGCGCCCATGCGGCCGAGGCCAGAGACTGCAATCCGGAGTTTGCGAATGGGCTGGGCCATGATGTAAAACAGTGCTGCGTGTTGCGTGTTGCTTGCTGCTTCGTTTGCAAGTTGATGTTCTTGTTCTTCTCTTCCCTTGTGGGGAGGCGTGTGGACGGAGCGTCAGGAGAAAGGAGAGGAAATCGGATGACAGGAGAAAATGATGAGCAGCGTGGGATTGGTATTGAGGTTGGGAAGAAAGATGGGTATGAAATAGATGGAAGTTTCTCGATGCACAGAGAAAAAGTGCTGAATGGCCATTGAACCAAAGCAACCAAAAGTTACACACCGCTGCTCAGCCAACCCCCTCCTCAGATGCCCAAACTTCCCCCTGACCATAGCGTTCAGGGTCCAAGCTACTACCTACAGTATAGTAGATTCCGGTACCAGTAAACCCCTCCTCCTCGCACCACTGACAAGCACGGTGTACTGTGGTACCTACCAAAGACTCGTGTTGCCACAACACCGACTTTCCCACGCTCAACATTTCAGACGTCGTTCATCATTTTCCCCGCTGGGATAGCAGACACCCGTCGGTTTCCCCATACTCTTCAGACGACGGCTTAGGCAGGTTCCGCCGCGGCCGTCGATATCATCTTGGCGTATCGGTAGATGGCACTGTATGCCGTGGTGTAACAGCACCGGTGAGTGTCCGCGGAATCGGCACGAACACAAGTCTACAACAGTGGAAGTTTGTGGGGGACGGAGACGTGGTGATGTTGACGTGCAGAATGGCTGCCATATAGGAGAGTTGGTAGTGCGTGGCTGTGTGGGGAAGAATGCGGAGTCTGTGTTTGCTTCGGGCATGGGGTGGGAGACGGGGAAAATTTCCCCTTTGGAGACTGGGTATCTCAGACGAAAAGAGGCGCCCCGCTGCCGCATCGTCAACACAGTGGGTTACACGGTATCTCGGGACGAGTTGGAGTATTGCATTCTGCAAAACACAAGTGATGTAAGATTTTATGGGACGATGTTTTTTTTTGCTTGCATACAAGATGATAGCTGGCGGGGCTGGATGCTGTTGGGAAGAGAATATCTCGGCTCCTACCCGGCTGGTTACCCGGTGCAAAACATGGAGGTGTTGCAAGAGGGCAAGAATTTCCGCAGGCATCACAAAGCACCATGTCATCAATCTTTGCTCAACACCACCATGGGAAAAAACATGCGTTGAGGAAAAGGGAAGTCGTGTTGAAGCACGCTACCCACAGCCTCTATAGGCTCGCGTTGTCATCCTCGACAGTCTCGAGCACTACCTTGATGACGAGTTTTCCGTCATCATCCTTGGTCCTCCCCGCCATGTCGAATGCCTCGACTGCTGACTCGAGCCCTCGATATCTGTGTGTTACCAGCGCCGGGAAGTTGGGATAGTCTGGCCCGGACTTTGACACGACCTCGATTCCAGTCGGGTATGTGTTGGCATATCTAAAGACGCCCTTGATGTCGACCTCGCGCAGCGCTGCAGCGGAAATAGGCAGAGTCTGGATTGGAGTGCCCATGCCGATCAAAAGGACTTGACCACCTGGACGTGTTGCCTACTCCTATCAGTAATGCACGTGGCAAGAATTCGGGTGCAAGTCGACAACTTACGTATATCGATGCTTGTACACATGAAGGCACACCTGTGCACTCAAACACAGCATCTACTTCGCCAATCTCACCACCGCCACTCTGCTTTGTTATCTTCCCAATGGCAGCAGCAGTTTCCTTTGCAATGTCTAGCTGCTCTTCCATCGTTGCTCCCCGCCTCATCGGCACCGTGAAATTCCGGTGGGCAAACTTGTTCTCCACCGCAAAGTTGACCCGCCCTTCGTCAATGTCGGCAATCACGACTGTTCCTGCGCCCAAAATCTTCGCCATCGCAGCTACTAGCAAGCCCACTGCGCCAGCGCCGAAGACGAGCACCGTCGAACCCGGTGCAAGCTGGGCTCGTTTCGAGGCCTGAATCGCTACACCCAGGGGCTCAAGAAGTGCGCCGAGATCAAGCGACATGTCCTCTGGAAGTCTTGCACTCGTCAGCACGCTGCACGCACCTATGCGTAGCGTTGGCATACTCACTTGTGACACCAAGCAGCAGGATGGTTGATCCGGTCCTGCAGCGTCCCCTGTGCATGTGGGAACGACTTTGCACTGCTCCTGAACCTCATGGCCTTGCAAATGTTATACCTTCCCTCCTTACACCTGTCGCATGCTTCGCAAGGTTGTCCAACTTCCAGTGCTACTTTGTCGCCCTCCTTGAACCCTTGCACCTCTGAACCTACGCCCACCACCACACCCGCAGATTCGTGGCCCAGCGACATGGGCTCTTGCACAATAATGTCGCCATTTCGGTAGTGTCGGTAGTAATGGAGATCTGAGCCACAGAGACCTGTACTACGGACGCTGACTTGGAGTTCTGTGGGACTGGGAGGGGAAAGAGAGCGCGTTTCCTTTAGGGGGGTTTGGTTAGCAGACTTGTTTTTCATGTTTGAGAAAGATGTTATTTGGGTGGCAGCTTACGATTCTCAGATCTTTTGCACCGTGGAGAACTGAAGCGCGGATCTTCATGGCATTCCCATCTTTTGTGTCTGTCGTCATCTTGGTGTGCAATCAATCTCAAGTGAAGATATCGTCAAGGCCAGAACGGTTGGCAGTTGTACAGAAGTAGCGAGCACGCAGGCTTGAACGTCAAAGTAAGATTGTATGTTGAAAGTACAAAGGAACAAATGCACGGTACCTCATGACGAAAGCCAACATCTCACGTCCAGTCGCCGGATTTTACCCAGACAATTCACTCCAGCAACGCCATGGAGAGAAATGCCTCCTTCGGCCTTTGACTTGGCCAGGCGGGGCATCAATTGCCGATGTCACGTGGTGGCGGTACCGGTAGCTTTCCGACGCTGTTCCGAAAGACTCCAGTGCCACGCAGATTTCGCGCTGCCATGCGCTGGGAACTCGATCCGCAAAGAGTTTTTTTTTCCTTCTCTCTTCTTTTCGATTGCGTTGACCAAACCTGGCTGTCTACGAATTCAGGCTGCTCTTTCAGCTCTTGGTGCCTTCAAACGCTCAACCCATCTTTGCTGGAACTCACGAATCTCCTCACGTCTAGCTCGTTTCCTCGTCGTTCACCACTTTCGTCTTTCATTCCGAAAACATCACCAAGGAACAGTGCCACCAACAGACATGACCGCCGTCCAAGAACTCTTCTCCCTCCAGGGCCAAACCGCCCTCGTAACCGGAGGAACACGAGGCATCGGTCAATCCATGGCCCTCGCCCTCGCCGAAGCAGGCGCAGACATCCTTCTCGTCCAAGTACACCACCCCCCTTCTCCTCCCACCCCTCCCCACTAACCCCCCCAACCCAGCGCGACACTTTCAACCAAACCACCAAACAAGCCATCGAAGCCCTAGGCCGCAAAGCCACAATCTACCCCGCCGACCTCTCCTCCCCGGCCTCCATCACCAACCTCGTCCCCGCCATCCTAGCAGACGGCCACAGAATCCACATCCTCCTCAACTGCGGCGGCATCCAAAAGCGACACCCAGCCCACCAATTCCCCGACGCCGACTGGGCCGCCGTCCTCCAAGTCAACCTCACCGCCGTCTTCCAACTCTGCCGCGATGTAGGCGCACATATGCTGTCCCAGCCCGCTGACCTGCCCCTCTCGCGTCGCGGCGCCATTATCAACGTTGCATCCCTGCTTACCTTTCAGGGCGGCATCACGGTGCCGGCGTATGCGGCGTCCAAGGGCGGTGTCGGACAGTTGACCAAGGCGCTGTCGAACGAGTGGGCGGCGCAGGGGGTCAGTGTGAATGCGATTGCGCCGGGCTATATTGCGACGGACATGAATGAGGCGCTGTTGAAGGACGAGAAGCGGGCGGAGAGTATTCTCGCGAGGATTCCGGCGGGTAGGTGGGGGAGGCCTGAGGATTTCAAGGGTGTGGTGGTTTGGTTGGCAAGTGCGGCGAGTGCCTATGTTAGTGGCGAGGTTGTTACTGTTGATGGGGGGTGGATGGGGAGGTAGGAAGATTGCTGGGGCTGGGGTAGGATGGCAGATGGCCTTCTTTTTTTGCATGAATACATGTCAGTCTTTTGCAGGTTGTTACTGTATACATGTCTTGCTCAGTGCGTGGCTAGCCAATGATCCTAGCATTGTTCATGTGGTGTATATACATATCACATAGTAGCAAGAACGTATTTGTGTCTTGGCCATGATGAATGCATTTATTGGGTATAGCTTTTCATCCACATCTCATCGTTCATCTCATAACTTGCACCAGCCATGCACTCAACCGCTCAGATCCATGCCCTCTGGCTTATCCGGGAATCCAGCGTTGACGCCAAATGGCGGGTACACATAACGCGTGACACCCTTGACCTTGTGGATGTTCTCCAACTTCTGCATGTCCTCGCCTTCAAGCGTAATCAGCTTGCGGTTCTCGTCAATGCGCGAGGGCGTGACAGATTTGGCTAGGACCGAGGACTTGCGGGCAACTGTATTTCATGTTAGTTTTTCTTCCGCCTTGGCTTTGGAATGGGTGGGGGTGCGGGGAACAGCGGACAGGGGGACAGGGGGGACAGTGTGTGTCAGAGGGGCAAGGAGGAAACTTACGGTGATAGCTCAACAGCACAACGGCCGGTCCAACATTGTGCTTCTTGGCCACCTCATTCACCACTTCGTCCTTGAACAGCGGGCTTCCTGTGCTGCCCAGCGGACTGTAGGCAGTGATGTGGATGCCCTTTTCCTTGCAGAAGTCGACGACCTCCTGCTGGGGCAGCAGCGGGTGGTTTTCAATCTGGTTGACGGCGGGCACGATGGTGGCTTTTGCGAGGAGCTTCTCCATGTACTTTACAGAGTAGTTGGCTACGCCAATGGCTTTTACCTTGTCCGGGTGCGATTTAATGAGCGACTCAAGATTCTTCCAGGTGTCGATGTGGGTGATGGATGTGTCGATGTCACGGGAGCCGTCTTCGTGCTTGGGGAAGAGGGGGTGGTTTCCTGGTGTGTTTTGTTAGCATTGCCAGATTGATTTTTTTTCTGATTTCTGCCTGGTTGGGTCGGAAATGGAGAGGATGTTGGCGACTTACCCTTGGGGTTCATGGGGACGGGCCAGTGCATCAGGTACAAGTCCACATAAGGGGTCTTGAGTAGTTCCAGGCTCTTCAGCAGACCCTCCTCGGCACGAGTGTGGAAGGTGCACCACAGCTTGCTGGTGATGAAGAGATCCTCGCGCTTGACGATACCCCTGGAGATGACATCTTGCAGGGCCTCGCCGACCTCGTCCTCGTTTTGGTAGCAGTAGGCGCAGTCAATGTGTCTGTAGCCAGCCTCGATGGCGTGGACAACGGCCTTTTTCACCTCACCAGGCGCAGACTGCCATGTTCCCAGGCCAAGAGCGGGGATAGAGGCGCCAGTGTTGAGGGGGAGTGCAGTGTTCATGTTTGGGCTGGGGATGGAGGACGGGTAGTATCAGGGGGGTCTTTCTTTTTTTTTTCTTGAGGAGCAGATTTGCAAGGGCGGGATTGTGTATATATAAGGCCAGCGGGGTATGATGTTGTGACAAGCCCAGTCCAGTCCACTTTGGCCGTTGCTTGGGAGGACTCCCATTTCCGTTTCCTTGACCAATTGGCACCCCACCCCTCACCCCCACCATACACCATACCGGCTAGCAGTCGACGGCTTCGGCCATTGTGATTGACTCTCTTTCTTTCTTCCGCTGGTTAATGGCTAATGGCTGCCCCGCCAAAGGGTTGCCCCGCCGGCATAGCTTCAGACCGACGACAGGTCGAAGTGCTCGGATGATTGTTGATGCGTGACAAGGGGCCACTGTGAGCCTGCCAAAGTTTTCTCGTCGGGCAAGGAGAGACCGAGCAGCACGTGACTTGAGTTTGTATCACGTGAATGATGTGAGTCACGTGCTGTCGAGGGGGGCGTACTACGAGGAGGGTGAAAGGGGGAGAACGGACCCTTTCTGCGTTTCTGCTCGTCGTCTGCAAAATCCATCATTCTATATGCAGGCTTCTTGCATGATCATCGGCTGTTCGTCTCCACTGCCTCCACTGCCTCCACTGCCTCCATCGCATCTCGGCTTCTCTCTCGTCATGGCTGCCAGTCCCTGCGGCTGTTGCTGCTGGTACCTAGGAGCGGCGAGAATTACTCTCCTCGGGCGACGGGCGGGAGTCTTTGCCAATCCCGGATGCCTTTAGTCTGCATGCGGACCCTTCTTTCCCGTCAACCGGTGTCAGAACTAAGCGTCCTCACAACCAACCACCATCTCGACTATCCCGACGATGCCACCCTAGACCCATCGGCCCTGTCTTTCTAGAACGCCAGATCTGTCTAGATCTGCTTTCAAGACTCCACATGCGATGTGCTGGTTGTTGTGGCACGGCGCGAATTACCTCAACACCGCCTTGATGGTGACTTTCCAAGCCTATAATTGCGGAGTATCCCCGTTGACGTGGAGCTAGTATGTCGTGATGTGAGAACTCTGTCACTGTTGACAGGCTGGGTCTACTTCGGGTGCGACCATGTTTGCTGCCGTCGGCACTGTCTGGGGGATGGCCGTTGAAAGATAAGTACGCCTCTGTCTTCGCACAAGAAGCTTCGTCCTTCAACTCAATTTGATCTCCCTTCCACTATATAAAGAGTTCATCTCTTCTTTTCAAGTTCTCCATTGCAGTACACCCAGCCACAGAGACACCCGATATCATATCAATTTCACATCCTTCATATCCCACAATGGCTCCTGGCGCTATCATCGAGCAGCCCTACGTGGCCGAGCCATTTCACTCCCGTGATGGCCTCGCTCTTGAAGCCACATCCGACATGATTGACGACGTCAACGTTCTCAAGGCCACTCTCAAGTCCAAGAACGCAGCCGCCACCAAGAAGGAAAAGGACATTTATGAGCAATCAGAATTCGACGCCGAAAAGGACAAGACACAGTTCCGACAGTACGAGGACGCTTGCGACCGCGTCAAGAACTTCTACCGTGAGCAACATGAGAAGCAAACGGTAGCCTACAACCTCAAGGCCCGCAACGCCTTCTACGCAAAGACCCGTGCCGAGATGACCATCTGGGAGGCCATGGAGAAGCTCAACACACTCATCGACGAGTCTGACCCCGACACATCCCTCTCTCAAATCGAGCACCTTCTCCAGTCTGCAGAGGCCATCCGCCGCGACGGCAAGCCACGCTGGTTCCAGCTCGTCGGCCTGGTTCACGACCTTGGCAAGCTTCTCTTCTTCTTCGACGCCGAAGGCCAATGGGACGTTGTCGGCGACACATTCCCCGTTGGCTGCGCCTTCAGTGACAAGATCATCTATCCTGACACCTTCAAGAACAACCCAGACTACCAAAACGAAATTTACAGCACCGAGTATGGCATCTACACACCAGGCTGCGGTTTGGACAACGTCATGCTGAGCTGGGGTCACGACGAGTACCTCTACCACATTCTCAAGGACCAGAGCACCATTCCTGAAGAGGGACTCGCGATGATCAGATACCACTCATTCTACCCATGGCACAGGGGCGAGGCGTACGGCTGGATGATGAATGAGAAGGACAAGAGAATGTTGGAGGCCGTCCGGGCATTCAACCCGTACGATCTCTACAGCAAGAGTGATGAGGTACCCAGGGTCGAAGACCTCAAGGTATGTTTGTTCACTACCCTGTTTACATGTTTAAACAGAATGAACTAACAACACACAGGAGTACTACATGGACATTATTGATGAGTTTATCGGCAAGGACAAGAAGCTGAAATGGTAGACGCTGCGCCGGTCCTGAAGAAAAAGTAACGAATTTCCTTTGTTCTGTTCATTACATGTTATGCATAACACGGAGTGCCAAAAAGGCCCGTGAGTTTTGTTTGATGCCAAGATTATGATCCTTCTGTGCGTAATGAACACGCACACGCCGTCGCATTTGTACTGTTTGGTTGTACGTATCATGCATTGAATGACATCGTCTCATTACACCGCAATGTCAAACCAGCACAAACGTCTGTGCCTCTTCTACGCGCCAACCTTCCACTGCCTCCCCCAGCATAACACCCTCCACATAGCAGTCACCTACCACCTTGTACTCCCCCAATTCCTCATCCGCACACTCTAAAACGATTGGCACACTGCACCCATGCAAAACCACAATCAATGAACCAACCTTTGTCCCAAACGCAGGCGCAAGCCCGAGTCTACCCTCTTCACCAGCCTTCCCCCCCTTCGTCCGCATGAACCTCCTCCCCCTTCCCACTGACAAGCAAAGCCCGAGTGCCTGGTCGCAATCAACCAAATCATTATATTCTTTCCACGGAAACGTCGTCTCCGTGTCCTCGACCCACTCCGCCCCATTCGCAGCCACCACACTCAGAAAACGTAACATATCCCTGCGCGTCCAGTGATCCAGCCCCTTGAGCGCTTTCTGAATTTTGGCCACCAGATCATCCAGATACGCATGATCCGCCTCTACCATCTCGCTCTTGAAATCCCAATACCGATTGAACACCGCGTCGCCGGCGATGCGATCAACAGTATCGATGACCCTGCCTCGAACCACCAAACGGTCCGTCACCGCAACACTACCTTTATACGCCCCCGAACCATCCGGAAGCTGAAAAACATGTCTTCTTCCCCCGCACGCATCCCACTGGACTTTATACCCCAACATGCGCACCCCGCCTACCGCCAGCCGAAACGGTGCTTGCAATGGCCACATACTCCACGACGGAACCCATGACGGAAACCCCCTGAGCTCCTGCGGTGTCGCCGTCAAAACCTCATCCAGATTCGCACTCCACATGGACAGGAAATCCAAACTACCGTACCCCTCCGCCAACGACGCCGCAAACCTCGTGAAATTACTGCGCACCGAGGCCTCGAAATCCGGCTCAAAGGCATTGTGCGAAGCCCCCAATAATCCCAGACACGCATACAACGCATCGCAGAGAAACTGCGTATCAAACCTCCCCGCCACCTCATGCATGATTCTCAAAAACCGCAGCGGCTGGTGCTCGCCAAAGGGCCGCAGTCGCATATTCATCAGCAGATGTGAGCGTCGGACTGTTTCTGCCTGGCCCGCCGCCACAGGCACAGCGTGCATATCGAAGAGATCCTGGGCGCTAAACGTCGTCTGGCCTGCTATCACGAGGATCTCGCGCGCCAGTAGGAATTCCTGTACGATCCAGCCGCGCGTGAACCACGGCCTTGCCCAGAATCGCAGGATCGAGGGTGCAAATTTGCCATCTGTGGGTGCGGTGCGCGAAAACGTGCTGCGCACTAGAACGTACCTGCGATCTGGATTGTACGTCTGCGAGCCCGGGATGATGCGTTCGCGGTCCGGGTAGGTGGAGATCCAGGAGGCGAGGCCGTCGAGGTATTCGCGGCAGTTGGAGCTGTGGGTGTCTGCGGGGCCGGTCCAGACGAGGACGCGGGTGGCGAGGGTGTAGATTTTTGACATTTGCGAGACTTGGACGGAGCGTTCGGTGAGTGCGGTGGGGGAGGTGCCTTGGTTGATGCATAGTTGGTCGATCCAGAGGAGGTTGGTGGTGGAGTGGGTTAGGAGGCAGGAGAGTGCTTCGGTGAGGTTTTTGGTTAGGCCGATGGTTGGAGTGGGAGGAGGGTTTGGTTCGGAGTCTGGTTCTGGTTCTTCGGACATGTCAATGGGTAGACCGGAGATACGGAGAGGGGCGCCCCATTGGTAGGATATTGCTTCATATTCTAGGGCTGGTTCATGGGGCTGTGGTGGTAAGTATCTGGGAATGAGGCGGTAGATTGGGACTCGAGTGCCGGAGTTGGGCTCTATTCTCCATGATATTTGGAGGAGACGGATTTGGCCTTTTTCAAGCGGCTGGTATTGGTATGTTGTTGGTACTTCACGTGGATCCATGGTTATCAGGACTGGTAAGAGGTTGGTCGGTAGAGCTGAAAGCGGGGTCCGAAGTAAGTCTTGTAGTCTACACTACTCATGGTACTCACCATGAGAAAGTATGTTTGTATTTGCTTTTGTTCAGCCGCGCCCGCAGCTTGTAAATAGCAGCCACAGCTGAATGTTATGGGTTGCCTTACGCTATCAGTACTTGTTGTCGCTAGTCGACATTGCTACTGGGCTAAAAAAAAGACATGGTCCTGGGAAATCAATAACTATTTTAAGCGTGAATTTCAACCAGTACCGGTAGGATTTATATGTACACCATAGCTTGTCTCGAGATTCGCCAATCATTCCCCAAAGAATTAGCTCAAGTGGTGCAGTACATTTGTAGGGAGGTTACAATGTATATTTATATGAACACGACAGAGCGGCACTCACAAATTTCATCAAGAGAAAAATCAGTCATTTCCCCAATTTTTAATCTTGAGAACCGATAAGGCTCAAGCAAGCAGACCAGTAGACACAAGTCAGAGTGTGAGTGTTGAGCTCGACTTCTACGCGAAATGAGACTGGTGGCCGACGAGCGATGAGTGGCTGCGACAGGAGAATTGTGTTCCACGATTGCTGTTCCGCAGTTGGCACTGCATAGAGGGTACTCCATCAGGGTGTTGTCGAGGATAGAGCCAAGCGTCCAGTAAAATAGGGTATGGAGAGTCGAGAAGACAACGGATCGTCATTCAAAAGCGTGTGATTTTCCGATGTGTTTGTCGCACTGCCATGACTTGTACCGGTACGCGTACTGTGGTACCGGTATGCTTATCGAGCAATGATATGCCATGGTATGGTTCCGTCGACAAACTACCACCACCCATGCAGGCCATGGTGAATGGATGAGTAAAGCAACGGCCACTCACTTCCGACCCTTTCTGACTAACGAACCACGGCTCGGGAATTCAAAATTCCTCAAGTCGCTCCGCTTGGCAAGGGCTTACAAATGTGGCGAGGCCGGCCCAGCCACGCTACCGTAGCAGATCGCTGATTCGCCATTTTTGTACACGGTATTCGGTGCCTCACAGGAAGTACACAGTCTCCTACTCTAGCAGACGGTTGCTAAATTGTTATCGCCTAGACCTTTGTCGTGCCATACTTGATGGAATCATGCTCAGGAATGGGCCAAGCTCTTCTAGGCGAGTGGAGATCAGCCGAAATGCAGGCCCGACATGCAGCCTTGGACGAGAGCTTGACCATCTCTTGTTTCAATGGATTCGACTGTCGTGGAACTTGCCCTGCACTGATGACATGATGCTGGGAATATAATAAATCTATTGTATTATACCATTCAAAGAAACTTGGGGGATGATACTAATACCTGTTGCTCAACTTGATCAAGCTTAAAAAACACACTGGATGTTATCGAGGTACCGGTACGGTTAATCTTGACTGCAAGTAACTAGTCAAGCGCTTTGCCGTATTTCGGAGTCTTGCATAATTTGACTACCTATGGTACATGACAGAACACACCTCCGAAACCCATCTGCTTGCCCCAAATCGAGCTTGTTGTGGTATCAGTAAGCGGCCGCTCTTGTCCATAACAACTGTGTATGCTAGGCATTTCTCCAGTCCAGTGCGTAGTAGGTACCTACCAACGGATACTGACATCGACGCACATCGTCTAGCACCACCGTCGCTGTGTTCAAATGAAGAACCCCAACCGAAATCCCAAGTATCTCGCATGATTTGACAATTTTTTTCATAAACTGTATACAGTGCATACTATATATTGTAGTTGGTGAACATGTCGGTTCTTGTACACGGTACTTGCTACTGGTCGTATCATACCGAATCCTACCGGATTAGTACTGTAAGCGAACTTCGTAGGTACCCAATAGCTCGGCTTTTCCTCGATATAATACGGGAGCTAGCACGCATACGAGGCTGACAATATAGCCGTAGTAGGTAGTTTATAGCGGTAGATCCACACCAGGAACCACCATCTGGCCATCATAGCGCCACGCCATCGCCGCCCAAAGCTTTACCCTTTTCACCACACAATCTCCAACTCGCTCGCTCCAATGCGCTCCTTCCGAGGCGGCTGATTTTGTTTACGGATTTATTGTAAACTGCACTGCCACTAAGGAATTGCGCGTGAAACAAACCGGGTCACGGATCGAATCATTGTCCCGGTGCGCACCAGGTACACAGCAACTACAGCGATGCGAAGGAAGAAACACTTGTGCTTCGGATCAATCTCCAAAGTTGGAAATCATCTTTATAGAATTGCTGACATGCAGAGGCTTTGAATTTGGCCGAACAAGCGGTGTCACGAACACATGGTGTGCTTGGGGACCTTTAGGTATATATACCCTGTAGGGCAATCACAAAAGTTGATCACCACGCCAATTCTCAACTTCATCTCCGACCACCATTTAAAAGTCTTGCAGCCCAATCAACCAGAATGAAGTTCACCGTAACAGCAACAGCCCTCTTTGCCAGCCTCGCCGCCGCCGCTGCCGCTCCCCAAAAATGCCACAACGTCTACATCGTCGGTGCCCGCGAGACTCTTGCTCTCCAGGAAAATGGCTTCGGAACCGCAGCTGGTCTGGTGGAGGACGTTAAAAAGGCTTACCCAGGAACTCGTGCTGATGCCATAAAATACCCAGCTTGTGCCGGTCAGGCCAGCTGCGGCGGCATCGACTTGCCAAATTCCCTTAAACAAGGTACTAAGGCTGTCGTCACGGCAGTGAACGAATACAACAAAAAGTGCCCTCAAGCAAAGATCGTACTCATCGGTTACTCTCAGGTATGAACAACGCTTAGCAAGTGACAATATCAAAGACTAACGTGACTTAGGGTGGTCAACTCATGGAGAACGCCCTCTGCGGCAGTGCTGACCCTAATGAGGAAACCATCAACCCCAAAGCCCTGCCTGCCGTCAAGGCCGCCATCCTCTTGGGTCCGATATCTTTCCGCAGCGATCTTACCTACAGCCGTGGAACATGCCGAAAAGGTGGCGTAAGTCACAATCAGTCTCAGAATACGTCCCAGATTGCGAAGGCTAATGATTCAATTCTTAGATTACTGCACGTCCCGCTGGATATACCTGCTCCCCAGGAAAACCCGGAATCATCCGGTCTTACTGCGACGCCACCGACCAATTTTGCTGCAGCGGTAAAAATCTTCCAATTCACTCTACCTACGTGACGACGTACGGCGATGACGCTTTGAAATTCATCAAGCAGGCTGTCGACCGCAAAAATTGATGAAATGCTGTTCACGATGGAGTGTAGAATACAGGCCTTGTATTAAATCCTGTAATGAAGCCCTTAGAATGGTTGTAAAACTGAACTAGATACAAAGTCTATACGCTCGCAAATCTCTCTGCCTGAAGCTGTTCACGTGATTTATGATGACCGGCATGTGTACTCGCTATCCTACATGCTAATTCCATCATAAATCTTTCAATGAGAGCCTGCAAAAAAAAGATAAAGGGGTGCAATAAACAATGGTCATAACGTCCGCATTATTCATCAAAATCCCAAGCTTCCCCCCCTTCACCACGCCAAAAGATCCATACTCAAACGCCCTAGCAATGCCTATATCACACCATCACATCCGCATGCCCAACGCAAGCCCCATCTACAATTTCGACTTGGGCCACTGATCCAGCAGATCCGCCATCTCGAACCGCGGCCAATCCGGGTTCAAACTGGGCGCCGGCCGTTCACGATCCCAAGCCCATTTCTCCTTCAACTCCGGCGTAAGATCGTCTTCCAGCATCTTGACTACATACTTGCCGAGCACGGGGAAGAATTTATAGCCGTGGAAGGAACCACAAGTTGCGACGTAAAGGCCCTTTGCGCCGGCGTGAGGGGATATGATGAAATCCGATGATGTTGTGAATGCGTCCCTTTTGGTAATTCTTAGCATGCAGTTGAGAGATGATGGGGAAGTAGTTGTGAGATGGTCCTACCAGCAAATACGGTGCTTTTCCATCTTCCAATTAGCGCCCTTCTTCCCGTAGAACACATCGTTGGCGTGGCCAATGTCTAGTTTCAATGGGCCAGGAACGTCCCATTGATTATAGTCTTTCCCAGATGGAGGGGCCGAGACAAAGCGGCCAGGTAGTACTTCGTGTGTGTTTTTGAAGATCTTCTCGCCCCACCATTTGAGTTCGCGGTCCTTGGTAGGCGGTAAGCTACCTATAAAGGGCCCGTATGCAGCCGTGTAGCCTTGAACACCAACAGGCATGTCCTTGAAGCGTTCAAAAGACTTCTCGTCGAGTGTTGTCATGCCGGTGGTAATTCCTCCTGCTACTATCCTGCCACCAGCACGGAGATTGTCATTCCCGCTTGCCTTTGCGGCTTGTTCGAGCAGTTTTGCCGTGTAGGCCCCCGTTGAGAGGATAACATTTGTTGCTGTAATGGTGTTGCCTTGCTCGGTCTTGACACCTGTGCAGGTTCCGTTGTTGTCGAATGTTAGGCTTTCAACCTTTTGTGTCACATACTTTACTCCCTTATCTATTGACCATTTGGTGATAGCCCGCAAGGAATCGCCGGCGTTCGCCCAACCACTCGACTGGTTGACAAGTACACTCTTTGCGCCATCGTAATTGGCATCTTCAAAGAGTCCCCCAAACATCTTTTTTGCCTCCTCAACTGTGACAGATCGCAGATCTGCCTTGCGGCCCAATTTCTTGTAGTTGTTAATCACCTCCTGTGCATAGTCTGAGCGGCAGACCCAGAAGATACCAGTCTCGTGGAAGTAGGGTTGCCAAAGAGGATCCTCCTTGAATATGTCCTGGGCTTCGAGGGCCAGTTGGCAGTAGATAATATCATCGTAATCTGCACGAACAACTTTGTTCCAATCCCAAGATGCTGCTACGCGGTTGTCCGCGTCCCAAGCATCCTGATCGACAATAGTGATTTGTCGATCTGGATACTTCTTGATTAGATGATATGCAGTCGATACGCCAAAGACGCCTGCACCAACGATGAGATATGAAGGTCTGCCTGCCGACATTCTGTGCAATAGCCAGATCCAAATTCAAGGCTTTTCGTCGCGCGTCGTAGAGAGGTGGAAATGAGTGGTCGTTACGGCAATGGAGTGCCCCCAAACCACTGCTCACCGTATTTATATCTTCGGATATTCGCGTCCATGGCTCCACATCCCAAAGCGGCTAACACGAATACCGGTCGTGGGCCGCTCTCGGCGATGATCGGAGTGGTTGTCGTGGTGGTGCAACCAAACGCGGGGCATTTCGTGGAGGTTGTTGCCTCATTGAGCAAAGCTTTGCGACGGCCGATTGCTCGACATTTCACAACGCCCTCTATCCATTTGGTTCACCGGCTGGCATGGCTTTAAGTGGACATGAAGGACTCCATTCGGCTGCGTATCCCGTGATGCGGACAAGTTTCAGTTGGTCTAATCTTCACCGACGGTTCCCAGATGTCAGGTCGCCGCATCTAAACGAGCTATCACCGCTAGCCCGATTAGGCCATGCAGCGCGATGAAGGGTACCAAAGTGACCTCGATACTGCTCTTTTGCTCTAGACAGATGCCGATTTTAGGATTTAATTGTTGCTATACTCTCTCACGGCTAGTGCAGAGACGCCCTGTTTGTAGACAGCAAAAAACTAACCAGAGCATTCAACCACGGCAATATCCTCCGCCTGTGTGATGATGTACAAAACTTGAAAGGAAAAACCCCAATGTACAAGACTAAATCCGAAGAAGCCTTTGCCTTAGCGTACTTTGTAGCATGCTAGCTCTGACAAGTCCTGCAATAATACCAGATCATTGGTGTTCCTTTATGCGACTCTTCTGCCCTGAAAGAAGCACTGGTTGAAAAGAAAGTTACATGGGATTGAAACAACAAGGGAACAGCAAATAGCTGGAACCCGGGAGGCAGGCCATCCATAACAATGCGGTCCGACCCGCAGAATCAACGCAATGCTATGACCTGGGCGAGCAAGCTATTTGATTCCATGCACTCAGCCCTTGACCTGTCAACCGTCGTTTGTCCACCAATACCCAGGACGGCTGATCATATCTGCAGATTTCCTGTACGAAAATGCATAAGTCTAACGCAAAGATAGCTAGACAGGATCTAAAGTCGGTCACATGGTACCTGACAACCTAAACACATGGCTTGCAGAGAGGCCTCTCTCATCATTGCATGATTCCTCGAGCTGCAACCTGGTTCTCAGAGCATTCACGATACTGATATAGCTTGTTGGAAACAGCGTCGGTCATGTTAGAATCAAATCACTCCAACCAAGCCAGCTACATCTCATCCGTCGAACCATTAGCATCTGCAATTTCCGCGTCTTGGCTGCTTTGATCTGCGAATACTGATACTGTCCCGAGACTGGTGCGGGCGGGTAGTAAAATGGGCGTCTATCCTTTAAGTCTTTATACATACCCAGCATCCGGTTCAGATCTTTTGGGAGATGTCCTTTTTCAAGCAATTCTCTTTACTGCTCAGAATTGCATCACCCTTCTGATTAAGTGGAGTGAGGAGTAGATTAGTGTACTCGTACACGATGTCTGAGTCATCGCTCGAGCGTATAGCAGACGCCTAGATGGCTGCAATGCTCTGGCAGACGTCTTTCCAAGGATATGCGATAGTCGTCTTTGGTTGGCCAGATGTCGTAATTTTCAGCTTGGCTAGGTTCTTGTTCCCCATTCGAGTGAGTTGGCAGGCAAGCTCGCCCTTCTTGAATATGGAGTTCCATCTGAAGCTTCCACTCTCGATGCGAAAGCTGTAGCCTTCGCGTCGAAACACAAGTGCAGAGAGCTTCATACCTCCACCGTGTTGTCTAGTCTGGCCTTTATCCCTCGCTTTGGTCGTTTCGCCCATCGCCAGATGGTGGTAATGAAGAGTGGCATCGAAGTTGGCCATCTTCAGACCACCATCACAGTAACCTGTCTTGTCGTACTTGAACTCAATGAAGCCGAGAAGATCCGTCGTTTTGGGAGCGTGAACCTCGACAGAATATGTCTTTTCACCTTATTTTCAAGATAGCTTCGTTTAACTTGTGAGAGATCGAGGCTGAATGATCGAAGGATACCGTCGCGCCTGTGGAGGAATTAATTTCGACAATAGACCCGGTGTCATGTTACTATACCAATTCTGATAGATTTCGCGGAAGCTGAATCGCAGCCCCAAGAGGGCACATATGGGGTTGTCAGATTGAGGTATTTGACACTTCGACTTGGAATGTATTTCAGGTCAGTGAAGAGACCTAGATGTACCTCCACGTCGAATGAATCATAGCTGTAGTCGGTATATTCGTCTATCATAGGCTCCGTTCGATTTGGAGCGCCTGTAGAATGTCTTTGTCCCAAAGAGGGTATTACAACCTGCCTTGCTTGAACGGGAAGTGGTCACGGCCACGGCCAACGATGTACTGAAAAGCGCACAGCTGGCTTTGCCTCCAAATGAGTAAAGTCCTCGACATTTATAGAAGTATAATGATCAAAAAAGTACAAAAGCCACTAAGAGACTTAAGTGTGAGCGGGGTGAGGCTACTGGTATTGTACGGTTGCTAGGCAGGAACTAGCTCGTTTTGACGCGACACGTACCGGTAATCACGTGTTCATGTTTCAGCATACACTGGGGCGCTTCTAAGATTGATCCTACACCTCCAGTGCTACAATATCAAGCGAAGGCCTACTCTTGTTGTCTAATCGAACTCTTTCGTACGTTTTTGCCTCTTCAAGTGTAGCAATGGGTTGTGATATGAGCTGACTAGCATACATTGCCTACTATTTTCTGTAATCCTGCGAATGTTCAAGGTGAAGTTTTGATTGAATGAATATTCTATCAGAAACATTCGAGCTATATAGACCATCTATGCCAGCAACTGTATGACCGGTATATAGTACGTCTCATCGCTGCTTCCTCATGCATCGCAATGACCCGTACCTGCCGATGGCCGCTTCGACTAATATTTCTCTCTCTACATTCATGGCATCATCAGCCTTAAACGACCGTAACTGTGCCGTTCGCCCTTAGGTCGCTAGAACTAGCACCGGCATGGACAACAAACTCCCCCTTCTCAACCACATACTTCATCTTTCTATCCCACAAGCCCCATTGTGCTACATCGAGCTCCACGCTCACATCCACCGTTTCACCCGCCTTTACCATGACCTTCTTGAAGCCTTTGAGCTCCTTGTTCGGTACAACTATACTGGCAATCACGTCCTGCACATAAAATTGTACAACTTCTTTGCCATCCATGCCCGACTCGTTGGTAATGCTCACACTGGCAGTGATCTTCTCATCGGCAGTAACTTCGGTCTTCGAGAGGGTAACATTGGAGTAAGTGAAGTTCGCATAGGAGAGACCGTAGCCAAACTCATAAAGTGGCTGAGGCGTATGAAGAACATATTGATGGCCGAACTGTAGAGTGCCATTGGGAAGAATGGCACCCGGACTGGTGTATCGGCCAGAGTTCAGGTAGTCATAGTACACCGGTAGCGTACCAACATCGTGTGGGAATGAGACCGAGAGCTTGCCAGAGGGATTCACATTGCCGTAGAGAACATCGGCCAAGGCGTTGCCGCCTTGCTCGCCAGGGTAGAACTGCTGGACAAGTGCAGCCGCGTTCTCCGAGATCCAAGGTTCGGTGATGGGCTTTCCGGAGGAATATACGACGACTGTGGGTTTCCCGGTGTCGATAATCGCTTGCACAAGGGGACCCATAGCACCAACCAGGTTCAGGGAAGCAACATCGACGTGCTCGCCTGTTGTTGCATTCAGACCTTGCCAGAGCTCGTTCTGGTCGCGCGACCAAGTACCGACAATTACAACGGCAACGTCTGCGCCCTCGGCAGCGGAAATGGCAGCCCCAAAGCCAGACTGATCGTTCGACCAGCGTTCGCATCCTTGCGCATACGTTACTGTCCCACTTGTCGCATTCTGGAGACCCTGGAGAGGTGTGACATTCGTAGGGTTGTACTGGGAGCGATAAACAACATAATCGCCGAGATTAGTAATGTTCGCCATTGGTCCAATAACGGCGATGTTGGCGGACTTTGACAATGGTAAAATGGCGTTCTTGTTCTCGAGCAGAACAATCGATTCAGCCTCCAACTCTCGTGCTAGAGCGACATTCTCGGGGGTATGTATAATGGAAGACGTTGCATTCTCCGAGATACCTAGGTACGGGTTCTCGAAAAGACCCATCTCGAATTTTGCTCTCAGTTGTCTTGAGACAGCTCTGTCTACGACTTCAATGTCGAGCTTACCTTCCTCGACTAACTTGGGAATCATTTCGAAGTTATAGGATCCTCCTCCCATCTCAACGTCATTACCGTTTGGCAAAGCCATGAGAGTCACCGCTTCTTTGTCAATCGGCTTGTCGGCAGTCTTGCATTGACAAAGCTTGAACGTGCAGCAGAGACGATCTGTAGCTCCAGCATCTGATGTCACCCAGTACTTGTAGCCCCATTCTTCGCGGAGAATAGTCTCTTGAATATGGCCATCCGCGATAGAAGGTATTCCATCATAGGAGTGGTAAGCGCCCATGACGTTCCATGCACCGGCATCGATGATTGAGCGCTTGAAGGGGGGTAGCCAGGTTGTGCGCATTTCACGTTCCCCACCATGGACAGGTCCGGTATTCAGTCCTTGTTCAGGCATACTGAAGCCAGCAAAGTGCTTCACTGTCGCGCTTACGTTGAGACTCTGAACTGCTTTGACGTATTGGTAACCCAGTTCTCCTGCTAGGAAGGGATCCTCGCCATATGTTTCCTCAACTCTACCAAAGCGTAACTCACGGGCAAGATCCACTACAGGTGCAAATAATTGGTTAATCCCCAGGGCTTGCGACTCTTTCGCAATAGCGACAGCCATGTCGTAGATAAGTTCCGGGTTCCAAGAGCAGGCCATTGCGATTGGGCTGTTGAATATCGTAGCATTGCCAACAAGCAAACCGTGAATGCCCTCGGTCTGTGTCAGAGCTGGGATGCCTAGTGTTGTGTTGTGCATGATGTATTCCTGGGCCGTTTTTATCCCAGCACTGATCCATTCTGGTGGCATGGCATGACCAACGTAGAATTGACCTGCACGGACCCTGAAATTCCATTCTAACCCAGTGCTGTTGAATGCATTCGTAGTGGAGTTAATCCAGTTGATGAGATCGCCTTGAATAAGTTGAGATGTCTTCTCCTCGATCGTCATGCGTGACAGGAGATCGGAGACGCGGTCATCAACGGAGGCGGAGGCATCTTTGTAGGTTGCATTCGCCGCTTGCCTCTTGCGGATTAGGTCATACGCGGTGCTGGTTGAAAACAAAGAGCTTCCTAGCAAAAGCGCTGTCCCGAGCGAAAACTGTCGCATCTTTAGGTGGCTGTCAAAGTTGATGGTAGTTGGCTGCTGACCGAAGACTACCTATCATTGGGACTTCTCATAGCTCTTATAGGTAACTATTTCCCCTTGGAGCACGATCATCCTTGCCTGACCAAGATGAAATCGGAGACCGCGGACAATTGCTCACCGAGTATGCAGGCAGTTAATCTAGAAACCCGATGTAGTGGCAGCAAATAATGCAGCATTGTTCTTGACGTTGACAAGGGCCGATCACTGTTCGCCACTTTAGGACCAGCATCCCGGTCGGTCAGATCATGCGCAATAGACAGCTGTTTCATCGACGTTATCCCTAATCCTTTGGCATCTGAAAACCGTTAAATCTAGTAATCGACAATGTCAAAATTGTATCGAAGCGTCGCGATAAGGCGTCGAAAATATGGTTGAGAGATGAAGTTCACGCAAAGACCGTGATGTTTGATTGACGGAAGAAAGTGGATGCGCTAAGTCAAACAAGTAGTTGGTCCCTTCCCCGCGATCCTGCATATCACCCCAAATCTTTCTTCGTTATGGGAACAGTGCTTGTAAACAAATTTGTCGCTTGGGCTAATTCACAGGCTACTACGGAGACTAGGGACATGCTCCGACGTTGGGGCTCGAGTCGTTTAACTAGGTATAGCATCCGCTCACGTCAATGTCTTGACCTGCACGACCAAGAGGACAAGAGGTAATCAGAGCAAAGTAGCAATTTCCATTATCCATGTCTGATAAAATTGTACGGTGCAGACTTGGGCAATGCAGTACATGGGTATGAATCATCACTCTCATATCATCACTCCTATGAAGGGCGAACAGCATTTTCCACTTTTTTGAGCATTTCTTGTAAGCAGAGATAGCCTTTGGAGGCCAAGAGACAATGCTCATGAGAAACTGGAATATCTTTTGTAGCTACACTTTAACGCCAAACACTCTCTTGCTTGCACTGTTCACCTTGATTATTAAATATTTTTAGAAATTAGTGACATGAATCATAAAGTTCGTCTAACCATCGGGTGATCTATAATGTTAAGAGAAGAGGAACAAGGAACGAAAGCCACCAAACCTTCTCCTTGCCTCTGGTCATTCCTCCAGATGCACCCGCTGCGCTGGGTGCTAGCGGTATACCTGTACCTTGCGTTCCAGCTGACGAGCGCGTTGATGAGGGGAGGCCGGATATACTGGCAGAAGTGCCTGTAGCAGTAATGCTGGAGACTGCTGATGCAGATGATGATGGTGTCGGTGATATTGAGGCGCGAGATGCAGAGAGATGGTCGGAATATGGGGATGGAGTGGAGAAAAGGCCTTTTGTTGAAGAGTCCTGTGTTGATGTTGACACGATTGAGAACGTGGTTTGGATAGAGGAAGACCGTGAAGCTGGTGTTGCAATAGCCGAACTCACGGGCGTGGAGAGGTTGGAGACAATAGTTGGTAGTGGTGCGGATGTCGCAGAGCTGGACAAGATGGTCCGACTACTCGAGGAAGTGACCGAGAAAGTGACGGTGACGAGAGTCGGAAGATGCAAGAATGTGGTGTCTTTGGACACTGATGAAGGGGCAGCGAAGTGAGAAGATCCGGTCTGGCTGCTTACTGAGCTTTCTTGCCCTGGCGCAGTAGGCGACACAGTAGAGCTGAATATGGTTGGCACATTGATGCTGGTGGGAATAGCTTGAGATCCAGAAGCCGATGCACTGGGCTTAGGTAGTGGTACTGGAACCACCTGCGTTGAGGTGTTGAGACTTCCGGCTCCCGAGGACACGGCGGAAAAACCTAGAGTGGTAGAGATGGTTGTTGGGTACACAGTAGGTATTGAGGTTGGATAGGGAGGATACACGACATATCCGGATGTTCCAAGAATCGGTACTAACGGTGTCCTAGAAGCTGAGTTTGATGGTGATGAATAGTTACCCGCCGGCAGTGAAGCGCTTGGGAGTGGCGAGTAGATGAAGGTTGGGATTAGAAGTGACTGTGAACCCGTCGTTGGTATGTGATGAGAAGTTGGGGAATTGAAAGCTGGTGATGTAGTAGTAGTCGCATATCTATCGGACGACCATCGTGTTGATTCCTGATGGCCCGTCGATGTGGAGAGTGATGTATTATGCTCTGAACTTGGTGTAGTGGTCTTGAGTCCGCCCTCGCATGGCTCTTCTCTCCAAGGCGGCGAGGTTGGCAGTGGCACACTTGAGAGCCCGTACGCATTTTCTCTCAGTGACTCTGTCGATGGACCTTCCCACCAATATGGATGTGGGATTTCATTGACATGCCTGGGTGCGACACGACCCAACACTTCTGTTGAGAGTGTAGCCAACACCAAGATAGTCCTCCTCATGACGACCAAATGTAGACTAGTGCGGAACGAGTGATCCGACGTTGCTACTGGCTAAAAACAGCCAATCTGATGGAATGAATTAACGACGGAGAATGATTTCGGGGAAACCTTTGGTTGAAACAAAGACATTCCAAAGCATCTCAGCCTCGTGTCTTATGTATTAATACGGGGGGGGGGGCTGCGATATTGCTCCCATAAACCGGGGTGCTGGTGATGGCTGGGCACACCAGCCACCTTAGTTGGCACTGCAAAAGCATGTTGTCACACAACAACGTCCACGTCCATGTAGCGCGGCAGATGCCAGATGCATGTCAACTGCGCACGTCCAGACAGCATCGTCACACCCTCGATGGATACGCTCTGTGCCTGCAACATGCAACGCTCACCGCCAAACGCGGCGGACGGGAGGACAACAGGTCGTGCGCTACCAAAAATTAACGCCGACGCGGCGTTCGAAGACTGAGATCGTAATTTCATCACAATTAACGAATTAAGCAAGATAATGTGACCATGTAATCTATTGAAAACTTCACCTTGCTAATGACTCAAGATTACAAATTTACTTCGCGGGCCTGTCAGTTTTTGCGTCAGTATTGCTCGACACTAGGATTTTGCGGAGATGTATGATATGGCTTGCAGTTCAGACAGCAGTTGGTACAATAGTTTGGTCGACATTGAATTCCGATCAGGTCTGTGAATATTGTTTTTTCATCATTGCAAGGAAATGTGACGAAGAGAAATGCACTTACCAAATTGCATGCTTCAACGTAAGGTTGAAATCAAACATCACTTGCAACTTGCAGGGTCTACTCGATTTTGCGCCGCTTGAAGAAAGTATCAATGCTCTTTTGCGAAGCATCATGACGGGAACTGCCGACGCCACCACCGGTGCGCTTCAACCCTTTCAAGTGATCCTTCCCATTGATCATCAATATTTGGGTGGTCCAGCCTTGCATCATGCCCGAAGTGGTGGTCTTAATTTTAGGGCGAGGTATATCTGCCTTGGGAAGCGGGTCTGCAGCGGTAGCATCTATTGATACGCCTGGTAATGGCTCAGCCATATCATTCGTCTCATCGTCTGCCGTAAGTGAAGTCGACGACTCAGCAACCAGTATTGGAGAAATTGGCGCATTGTCCACTGAAGCCGCGGTTGAAGAATCGACTTTTTCGCCTGCAGATTTGACCATGTACAATTCCAAGTAGCCGGTATTCGACCAGCCACCCAAATGCTCGAGTGACGGTAGCGGTGTGGCCAACGAGTTGGTGGATAGCATTACACTTTTGGGTGGAAAGCGGCACAGTATTCGTTTCCACAGGGTAGACAGATAGATACCGTGGGAAACGATGGCAATGACAAGCTCAGCAGGTGCTGAAGCGTCGCTCAGTAGGGGGATCAGATGACCGTCGAGGAACTCATCAGCACGTTTGGCCATGGCTTCTTTCGTCTCTACCGCCACAAAATCTGATGCAACCTGTCCAGGTGCCCTAGCATCCGCTGGCTGAGTGGCCCACTTCTTGCCTTCCATCGAACCAAAGTCCTGTTCCATAAGCAATGGTAACCGTACGATGGCGGGGACCCCATGCGCATGGTCATCAGCCCCCTCACAGCCCAGCTGACCTTCTCGAATCTTGCCGGCCGTTTTCGCAGCCCGTTGAAGGTGAGACGAGAACAGGTGGGTGAACCTCAAGCCAAGCGACTTGAAATGAAGGCCCAAGCGAGTCGCCTGCTGAAAGCCGTGGTTGGTGAGTTCCGAGTCTCTGCTCCCAGCGCTGCACGAGTTAGCAAGGCAGCGCCAAAATGTGCATTTTCCTTACAGGAGCTGTGCGACATTGTCTACCGTTTCTCCATGACGGATAAGAAATAGCCTCAGCGATTTCGCCATATTGCCCATAGCAGGCGATTGCGAAAGGTATTCGGCTTCATGACGATGGATTGATGTGGCGGAGAATGATGTTAAGCAAGCGTCTACGCAGCTGAACAAAAAACGGTGGCAACAATTCATCTTGGCGTTTTGATGACTAAGACGCACATGGCGCAGACGCGAGTATTGGCTATGAGATACACCTGATTCTACCTCACCTTCGCGACACTTCAAATTCTACTATTGCGCTCTTGTAATGTCGATAATATACTTAGCTTAATAGAAGGCCAAATATAGTTCCACTTTGCCACTCGCTGATATCTTGGTCTATTGACGTTTCCATGTTGCTTGCCAAGAGATGGTCTGGGTAAGCGCTTAGCTACCTAGGTACCTCCGTCATTCACTACCGCCAAGATGAGGCACCGAGGTCCAGCCTGATGATCGTATCTTTGGCCTCAGCAATGTTATAGGCGCCTTTGGAAATCTCGCATGCGCTCATAGGATGAGCCTCGCCTGTGTGCCGGCCTCGCTGGCCTTCAATGAGGGCGGCGACACTGCCACTGTTCGCCGCCGCTCAGCTGGCCCTCGTCGACGTAGGCTGCTTCCAGTCAGGTCAGACCAGAAAATGGGCATCGTCAACTCAGGCTCATTCACATCTGCCTGCTCGCATTGAGCCAAATCGACTCGCAGGCAAACCCAAAACACGCAGCTTTTGTTCAAAGTTCTTACAACTCGTGTGCATCGTACTTGATGCCCTACACCCACCCACACGTCATTATTGGATACCATCACTCCCTCTAATGTGAACCCGTTGCTTCAAGCTTGTAAAATTTCCAAGTTTTTTTTACCTTCACTCGAAACGATTAATCCTACGGACTGTTGATCTCACTTGACGAGCCGCGCTAGGTAAACTGAAGCAAACGCAGTCTTCACTTGGTTCCCGTGATACAACGCTTTCATCTTAAATAGAGAAACACACACTTGTTCTCGTCTCTCGTTGCACCTCTCCACCAATTATCGAAGTTTACACAACGCTTCACTAGAACCTAATCATGTCATAGACTCATCCAGAAATTGTGCTCAGACAGATTTACGAGTCGTTAACATTTGCGCAATGGCAAATAATAGCGACCCAACCCAAGCCGACTACGATTTCGACTTCAGCCTACCGCATGGTGTTGACATTGACGACTATTCTATCGATGATGTGGCCTACCCAAGGAACTCTGACTCACCACACAGCGACGAAGATACCCAAAACGCCAATCGAGATGGTCCCGATCGAGATGGTGGCGATGATTCTGAACAACTTGATGACATTTTGATGTCAGATAGTCTTCGACCCCATGAAGATGAAAGCGACCTGGTACATGAGGTCGGAGGCATCACAGAACAGATCATAAATTATGATCAATTACCAGAAGGCATTTCCGAAGATGAAGACGCCGAGGAGGCATTCGATCGCTCCTGGGGCGGCCGTCAATCTACAATCACTGCTTCAAAGACCAAGCTATCACCACGGCGTAAACATGTCGAAGATACGGAAGATGCTCCTTTGCAACTGAAGAAGCAGCGTCAGTCAATATTTGGTGGTCCAGTTAAGGAAGGTGACATGAATATGGCAGAACTTGAGCCGGTATCAAAGACCCCTGGACCGATTATTGGTCCCTACATGTCTACGCTCAGCCTCATGCCACAAGAACGAGAAGGTGGTATTCCTGATCAAACATTCAATGCTGGCTTTGATGTTCCAGCCTCAGAGGAATACGATGCATCACCGGATGGATCTCCCATGTCTGATCGCAATATTATCATACCTCCCGACTCACAAGTAGGTCAATTCTCAAGTGATCAAATTAAACACACTTACAATTTTATATAGCCTGCCTATGAACTCCGCCAGAATATCCCACGTAAGACGGCTTTTACGTATATTGACACCGACAATTCTGGGAATTTCGATCCATTGGATGAAGCAAAACGGAAAATGCTGAAGATAAACAAGGCAAAGGCTGCTAAACTTGCACAACAGAAAAAGAAGAAAAAGCAGTCTGCACCTAAACAACAAATCGAGAAGCTTATAGTCAAGCTCCACTTCGAAGCCTTTGGTAATGTTCGCAATTACACCGATGATGAGCAGAACTGGCCAGACAACTGGTCAGAGGTCGACTCCGAATGTGAGCGCAATCGGCAAGAATATCGCGACTCCTTCCGCAGAAATACACCCGGCCACATCGTACAGATGCCTATCGAAGATCCGACAGGCGAGCTGGACGACCTGACGGGCCATCCCGTAGCCAGAGGTTGCAAGTGCTGTCGTACGAACAATCATGATTGCTCAATGATCACCAATGGAATATACCCATGCATGCAATGTGCAGTTGAAGATACTGAGTGTGAACCAATTGTTCCTGCTCCCGTCAAGGGCCGCTGTATGCAATGCGTCACCGATGGTATAGACGTCTGTTCTTTCGAATTCAAGCCTGGCGAAGCATCTTGCGATCTTTGCTTCGAGAGCGGATTGGTTTGCGTACCCTTACCGCCAGAGGGATATCGCGCCAAGAGAATCAATATTGATGACTTAATGTATGGCGAGGATAGGCCGTACGCTGCATGCACCGTTTGTCGCCAAGAGAAGAAGCGCTGCAGTCTAAAGAAGAAGACTGACAACCCGCCTTGCAAGTACTGTAAAAAGCACCGCATTGGTTGCACATTCTTTGACTTGCCAAAGCTGGATCTAGCGAAGAAGACAACTACAGCTGCCAGTGGCAGACGACCCTTAGGCCCAACAGAGGGCAAAGCGCCAGAAGTGGCAATGCCAAGCTCCTCATACTTCACCGCCGAAGACCTCGCAGACATGGAGATGAGAGAAGAAGAGACTTCCTCTCGCGAATCTACCCCCGAGATTGAAATGGAAGATAAAGCTGGCAACACCGGGCTCCTAACAAAGATTATGACCAGCTTCGCACACCCGATCAAGTTCAATGTTCCATTGGGAGCAATCTCGGACTGCAACTTCTGCGAGATGCCCATGTTTGGCATTGTCGGTCACTTTGAACGCGAAGTCCACGTCATTCGCTGGTACGACGGCCGTGGGTATACAGAAGTCGGCGGCGGCCACTGTGAATACAATAGCCCTAGCCAGATGTGTGGACTTTGCACAATCACTCGACTGCAAATCATAGTTTGTGGAGATCATCAGCTCGAACCGGCTTTCGATAGTGATAATGTGCCGGACTTCAACACAGTCACAGACGATCTAATCTCCGCTGAGCCGGGATCTGATGACATGGTATACCAACTCAAACGCTGGTGCTCCATGTGTTTCTCAGTTGCCAAATTTGGGTGCGCGAGGGTTCAACCCTCAGTGTGTGGAGAAGAGGAAGAGACAGTCGTGGGGTGTGGATTACGACTTTGCGATCGCTGTGCTGTCCGTCTCAAGGATGAGTTTGAGGGGAATATCGAACTCTTGGCTGAGCATATGGATCCGTCTCCTAAGATCAGCATTGAAGACGAGGAGAGTGACGACTTGGAGGGTATGGCTAGGGCAGATGTCGGATTTCTGAAGAAAGATGGTCTGCTCATGGCTGCTATCTACGCGGAGGATTGAGGGCCATTTTCGTATGATTCCTCGTTTGGCCAGCTGCCTTTGCAGTTTGGTCCAGTACATGGTTGGATTTTAGGTATGGAGCAACAGAATTGACGAGGGATTGGGCGATGCAGCATAATGTCATTAATAGTTTCATTATTTGGGGGATACTTTCGAGCCTTCACAGCTGTCGTTGGTTGCATGGGTAGTCTGAGGCAGAAAAGGGGAGTCGCAGATCGCCCAAGACATTATCTTAGGGCCAATATCAAAATATATATTCCATGACCCCCCCTATCCCTTGCGACATCTTTTGGTCGTAAGTAGCAAGTTTATGTCTATTCTTCTATTGGGTATTGGGGCGCAAGGCGGTGTATGTTTGTTAGTTCCCCTCAAACTAAGATTTTCATTCTAGACCATCAGGCCGTAAAACACCACTTTGTTTCTTCTGCAGCGTCTGGTTTATAACAACAAGAAGTCTATGCAATGACTGAAACCACAATTCTAAGACTCACAATAGAGAATTGATAATTGCAGGTAACGTCAACGTAATTTACTATGTTCCTTGTATTGTAGATGACAAAATCACACTGCCTGCTTCTTTTCATACCAGGTCCGTGCTATATCTGATCCACTGTCTCTATAATCCGTCAGGTCACGAAAGACAGCTTCTAGTTCTTCAGAGCTTCTTCAGTCATGATATTAAGTGACTTGGGGTCTCATCACCAGTCTGCACGCAGTTGCTCAGTGAACACAGCTCACTCACTGTCCACCATACCTCACCCATTAAAGACCGCACCAACGCCATCCCCGCGCAATGTTTGAAGTCAAAGTACCTCATGCTGGGTTCAAACGGACACATCAGGCCATTTCTTCACTCTGCGTTTCACTGGAGAAGTCTTCACGCCCCTCCTTGTGTCGCTGTTTTTTTGTTGCGGTTGGGGAGGAGCGAAGTGACAAGTTGAAGAAGAAGACTACAAGGGTTAAATGGCATGGAGTCTTGATACGAATCGTTGGTGGCGAGGAACTGCTTGGGAAGCGAAGGGAATCTTGAGGAGGCAAATTGCGCGAGATGTAGTGGAAGGGGATGGTTGGTTGGAAAAGGCAGGTGCTTGGACATAGTTGGGATGACGCGCGTCTAAGTGAATGTATCACGGATTCTTCGGGAATTAGGAGTGTGTGAGACGATCGTGTTGGATGTTAGTAACGGGTACTACTTGAATTACCACATTTCAATATTCTAGCATGTTATTGGAAGAATCAAACAATTTCATGCCGTTCAGCGGGTATCGTGACTATGAGCTACGCAGAGAATCAAATGTCGTTTAAGGTCCCTTCCCAACCCATCCACCCTAGACCCCTGACCGCTTCATCCACACCACCCCATCAATTCATCTCTATTTGCGCACCATCCTGCCCCCCACTCTCAACACTAGCCAGCACATCCTCCATGCTAGCATCCCCACTTACCATCCCACCATCATCAACCCCCGCAGAATCCATCCTCTTCTTCCCAACCCCTCTCACCCAATGCCGTTTAAGAAAATGGCCCCGCATCAACCTGAGCTTATTCTTGATTTTGACGCCACAGATCCTGCACTCCCTGCCCTTTGATTCAATGAGAAAGTCTCCCCAAATATCCGCCAAAACAAGTGCGTCGGCGGGACCCAGGAGGTCTGCAACATCGTTCTTGATGGCGTCCCACACACGTAGCAGATCTTGCAAGGGGCCATTGTTGGAGTCATGGAACTTAAGTAGTCTGGCGAGGTTTTCAGATTCTGGGTCCTCATCGCCGTTGAGGAGCAAGTCGAGCGAGTTCAACATGCGGTTGCTGAAATCGGCTTGTTTGCGTTTGCCGTCGGTCTCGGTTCGGAACCATGCTTTGAGTAAGGGAGCTTTTTGCAGCATGGAGATGAAGTTGCTGATGGTGGTTGTGGAGTTTGTGGCTAGGACAGAGGTGTGTAATGAAAGACCCATCATGGGACAGTAGGGAGGAATGCGCAGACTCTCGCCCTCAATCTGCGTGAGCACTATACCGCCTTCTAGATCTCGAGTTGCGTCTAGGGCCTCCTCCTTGCATTCTAGTGCAAATTCTTCGTATGTGGCTCGGAGGATGTTGAGATTGTGCGTGGTAGGTGGCCAGATGATCCAAATCATGGAACCTGCTAGAACAGTGGTGGTAGTTGTGCCTTCGCTGCTGTGTTGCAATGGGATCAATGTTTCGTTCGAAATAACAGTGCACGTCGTGTGAGTTGTATGCAGAACATCGTCAGCGGTTGCGAGATCAGCTTCGAGACAGATTTGATCCAGAGTCTCGCTTGGAAAGCTTGCAACTGCATCCTTTGCCTCAATGTCAGGGTCAGTGAGGCTCTGGATCAGCTGTAGGCTAGGATCCTGGTCGTTTGCCTCGACAGTACCGTCGACATGGCTTGAGGGCGCCCAATAGACCGGGCGACTACCGAAGTAGTCGCGTACCCTAGACAGTTCGCGCAAGCACATATCTTGCAGCTCTTGCGGAGTCAGAAAGTCGGCCTTGCTGTATGGAGACATCTCACGACTCAGTTGAGGGTAGTGATCTTCAGTGGGACCAAATTTGTGCCGCTGGACAGCCCTGATGTTGCACTTGTGAGGCGCAAGCTTGCCGTCGTTGAGGAGTGAAGTGAAAAGGGTGGTGTGATTGGATTCTGACATGTTGAGTGCTGTTGCTGTTCCCGCTGCAGCAAGAGCTACCATTATGTGGTAAGAAAGTTTGTGTTGGGTTTGGGCGATAGGATTGATGGATTAGGTTAGAAAATAAGGGTGGAGGTTGGATAAAGATGGTGGAGCTAAGAAGTCATGCGCTCGGTCGGGCCTAGTACCTGTTGAATGACAGGCAAGCAGCAATATAAAGCTGTTTGATTGTTGCTGCTGCCTCAGAGAGGCGATGTAGATAGTTCTATGGAGACGGGTAGTCCGCTGTCTGGCCTAAATATGATCGCGAGGGTGACCGGGTCCCGGTATGCCAAGCGATAACGTGACGATAGCTTCAGGCTCGTTAAGGTAGGTAGTCTTTATCAACATTCACATGGATAGGGAACATGGTTCGTATAGTGAATCCGAAAAATTATAGTGTATTCAACTGTCTGTTTTATTGTCTGCTTTAGTGTTACCATATATATCATTGCGGCCCGTTTGTTGAAATTCCACAAGTTGCACTTTTTGATTCCCTCATTCACTTGATTCACACTGAGTCAGATATTATGACGCAGCACACTTGAATGAACGGATGGGCGGTTAATTGTATAAAAAAGGTTCATCAACCCTATACGCCCATTCCATAGATGGTACCTCTTCGAACCAGGCATGACACTGCCATCCTGCTTCTGCGCACAACCAAAAGCCACCCATTCAAACCATCCAATCCACTTTCTCCTACACCCCCATTTATGAAACTACAATGCCATGCTCAAAATAAGCCATCTCTTCATATTAGACATAGTTCTTAGTTGCGTGTCGCAAGGGGACCCGGGGCACGCTTGTGGCATGGCACCCACACCCCATTTGATAAACACTCCAATCCCCACCCCCAATCCACTCCCCAGCTCAAAGCACCTCCTAATTGCCCCCAAAGACTGATGCCAGTCATCTCAGCGCCTTGCCATGTTTAATAACTCCCATGTCCAAAATATGCAGTGATATTATTTCGCCTTTAAACCCTCTCAAAGCGCAAACATATACCCATGTTCGCCATTACACTGCTATGCCAAAAACTCCCGCCCTCTCTCCCTCTCAAGCTCCACACATCGCTCTCAAAAGCTTAATCATCAGATATCTTAAGCGTCTCACTAAACAGAAGCTACAATCATGAACCTGTGACCACAACTTCTTCAATCACGACATCATCAAAAGCGTAACTTTAGCAAAACCCCCGATGACAAAGAAGCTCATTCAACTATATACTAGCGAATAATGAACCCTCCATTAAACTCTACTCCCCACGTCCGCTCCTGCCTGACTATAACAGACGAATTCCCCTTCAAGAGAAGAACACGGGCCTGCACTCCCAGTTCTCTCCTTCCGAAGCATCGCCGCGTCAAGCCCATCGCCTTCGATTTTTTCCTCACAGCCGCCTCCACTTCCTACTCATACAAGGAGAAAGAAAATTGAACTGGGTATGTAATGTCACCATCTCCACACTCGCCTTGATCCCAGCGCCAGCAATGCAAACTATGTTCCGTGTGTCGTAAATATGTGATTCGTCATGTATGTGTATTAGGGTGGAGGTCTCGCAGTCGAAATTCCGGTTCATTTTGCATACAAGTCGTTGCAAGCGTTTCAAAATACCAAGAACAGCCTAAGCGAATCCAAAGTACTCGCCACCAGCCGTCATGGCCGTATACAGCGCCTTGCGGAGATCCTCATACGTTTCGTACTCTGGGAGATCGAGCTCTGTGGTTGTGTTAGCCCGTGTCTAGGTTACGAGTACTGGGAAGGGAAAGGTGAAGGATAAACTTACGGTTAAAGCAAGTATGACTACTCGGCAAACGATCCTTGCTTCCATAATCACGATGGATATTGAACTTGCTGAATCCATTCATACCCTCAAGTTCCTTGAAGCCATTGAGCGGCACCTTGCTCGTTCCGGTGATGAACTGCAAAAGCTTGGCCTGCTCTTCTTTTTCAAACGTGCGAATGGCGCGCCAGAACCACTGAATCTGCGGCGAAGCAGCGGTGTAGTTGTGGTATTCTGTGTTGTTCTTCCAGTCATCGACGTTGATGTCCGGCAGACCTGAGATGAGCAGCTCGAGCTCCTGTTCACTGAAGATGGAGACTAGTTCTGCTGGGACGATGTCATGGAAGCCTTTGAGGAAATGCTCGAGCTGTTCTTGGACGGCTCCCGTGAGGCGATGCTCAGTGATAAGACGGATGTACTCTTGCTTGTTGTCTTCGGTCACCGGGATATTGCGACCATTTTCGATCAGGTCGACGACTTGCATCTCGCCAAAGGCTTCGACTTCGACGGAGAAGGTTTCGGTGATGATGTCGGTAATGTCGTTGTGTAGCATCCACTCCAACGACTTGTAGTATTCCAGATCGAGCGTCTCCATGTCCTTGAGATTGACTTGCTTGCCCATTATCTGCTTGTAAACTGCACGACTGAAATGACAGTCCAGGACACGACCTTCGTACAGTGCTTTGCCGATGATGCGTCCAATAAATTTGAAGAACATCAAGTGCTCGGGATTGATAGAACTGAGACGGTTGGGGTGGAATGTCGTGCGATCGGAGGCGACTGGTACAAACAGAGCGTAGTCGGCATTGAACATCTGGCGAGAGATCACCTGGAACCATTCGCGGGTCACTCCACCGGCATCGACACCCTCTTCGCCATGGAAGCGAATGCTGAGCTTTCCGTACTTCATCTCATCTGCCGACTTGAAGTACAGCGACTTAAACGAGTCCAAGAAAACTTGATCACGACGGACTGAGAGTTGGAGTGGTGGGTGTGGTTGACGATCGCTCCCGCGAGAGTGAAGCTTGCGATTGAAGTAGTTGCGCTTGTTATCAAACTCTAGAACCTTGGAATTCTTGACCAATAGAGAGAAGGTACCGCTCATAAGCTTTGGATTCTGGCGGACAAGGTCGTTTAGGATCTTACGATGGTCTTCGGTGAATTGGAAGAACAAATTCTCCATCTTGCTCTCAGGTGGCGGGCTCGAGAGTGCAAACTCCTTGGAGACAAGCTTGGACAGAGGCGGCTCCTTGAGTGTGGTGTTTTTGCAGACGACCATGAGTGACTCGATGAGTGGGAGCAAGGTCGTAGCAATGTTGAGCATGTTACCACGTTGCCGGATGACTGTAAGGCATTCGCTGAGCTTGTTCCACAGTGGTGCAAAGGCTGCGTCTTCGTAGAGAGTCAACAGAATGTCCGCCTTTTGGGCTGGCTCCAAAGCCTCGGCCGCAGTCTCTGGCTTATCTTTAATGTCGCGAGACGGATCGAAGAGGTAGTCGAGCGCAGTAAGTGCCCGTAAGAGCTTTGTTTGGTCGGAGCTTGCTGGTGAGAATTTGGCAAGTGCAATGCCTTGAACATCTGTAGGCGACTCTGCGTTGGACACCTGTGCGGTGAGGCTCGCAAGATCTTGTAGGGTTGATCTAGCGAGCTCTTTGGCAATACCAAGCAATTCCTGACCAAAGATCTCCTTTGCACCTGGGATGGGAGATAAGTTGCTGATGACAGAGAGCGTCTCCTGGAAAACCTTGCTATTACATTCACGAGCAGCCAAAATCTTAGCCACGAGCCTGAGGTTAGCTTCTGGAACATCGGGAGGAGCCAATGCGCGGTGCCTCTTGGCCTTCTCCTCTTCGGCCTTTGTTTCGCTAGGTTTAGCCGCACTTCCTTCGCCTTCGGTAGTACTAGCACTGGGCTCAGCCGGTGCTTCGGATACGCTTGTCATCTCCGTATCTTGATCGCTGGTGCGGGTCTCTGATTGTCCACCCGGGACGGTCCGGTTTTCGGCAGCCTGGCCATCGTTGTTGGTCTCCTCTGCCTTCTTAGCGTCCTCTGCCGCCTTTTCCTTTTCCTTCTTCAGTGCCTGTAAAGGTGCTGTGATAACACGGAGCAATGTAGTGAGCTGCTCCATGATAGTTGAGCTCTCAACAATGAGCTTACGGTCCAGTAACGTGAGAAGAGCGTTTATCGGATACTTATTTGCCTTGCTCTCTTTTGCTTTGCCCTTGCGATTGGCGCGACCCTTGAGGCCGACGCCAGTCTCATGCTCGGTGAGGAAAAATGACCAGACAGCTGGATTCTTCTCAGTCAATTGGGTCAGGGTATTCAGACATTGTTGAACGACCATAAGTGGAGAGACATCGGCATTGATCGACAGAGCACCATTCTTTCGTGACGGCTTGGGAGTCTTGTCCGCAGGCTGTTGTGGTTGCTTCGCACGAATTGAAAGTTGGGCAAAGCTTCGCTCAACTGCATTTACATCGGCACTGCCATCTTGAAGGATAGACAGCAGTATGCTGATGACCTCTGCGCGGTTCTGTCGGTTCTCGCAAACATATCGTAGAATAGAACTGAGGCTAGACTTGGCGCTGCCCTGCTGAGGGATGAACATGAGCCTCAACAGTGTAGCGACACCTGCTTTGTCGAGCATTTGCACGCAAGGACGAGCCTTCTTCTTCTGCGTGGGGTCGTCATGTTGTGTTCGGCGACCGTCACGTCGGTAATTGATGTCTCCAAATTGATTGAGGCGGCGATCACCTCCATAAGCTCGGGCTTCTGCAGAGATCTCCGGAGGAAGCTGTCGTAACGTGTCCTCGTCGGTGTCCATGAGCACAGCTGCGCGGAGGTTGGGGTCCAAAGACGCCAGGAAACTTGCAGCATCCATATCTTCTCCCTGAGGTGCCACAGCAGCGCCTTGGTTGCGGCGACGATTCTCCTCGCGTTCACGACGCCGACGCTCCTGAGCTTCTTGTGCGAGCAACTCTGCACGAATCTCTGGCGGTAGAGCAGCCAAAAACTCTTCGTTGATATCTGTCGGCTGCTCCCCAGGTTCATTGGCGGGTGGGGCATCAGGGGCCTGTGATTGTGCTTGTGACTCAAGTTGTCGTGCTGTCGCGCGTTGTGCCGCGCGTTGCTCCTGCCGGCGCTCGGAGACCTGCTGCATGAGAACCTCCTCACGCATCTCCTCAGGAAGAGCATCCAGATACTCTGCGTCTATTCCCAACTCCGTGATATCATATTCACGACCTCGTATGATAGTCACAACTCTGGGAGCCGGAGGTTGCGCTGGGGCAGACTCGGTTTCAGCAGGCACAGCAGAAGGCTCGGCTGCTTCAATGCCTCCCATTGCTTGATCACCCGATGTGGCGGGCTGTTCAACGCCACCTTCGGTTTCTGTAGTCTGCTCTTGGGCTCGAGTAGCAGCCTCAGCGGCTTCACGTTCTTGTCGCTCTTTGGCTTCTTTCTCGCGGGCTTCGCGCTCCTCGCGCTCCTTCTGTTCTTGTCTCTCTTGTTCTTCCTTGAGCTTACGAGCCGCTTCGGCCTCTCGCTCTTCTTGTCGCTTCTTGGCAGCCTCTATCGCCGGAGGCACCATGACCTTCAAGATTGAATTGATAACTCGTTGACTCTTCTCGATTGCACTTGGTCCGTACAGTATCCTAGCTTCCTCTTGCCAGCGCTGGCTAGTATATGCCTTCACAAAGGCCACAGCCGAGTGAGGATCCTCCCGAGCCGAGCGTGACAGGTGCGACTCACGAGCACGCACCATCTCGCGGCGGAAGCCAGAGTCAAATGGTGGCGGTAGACCCATGGTATTACTGAAGAGGTGCAGAGCACCTCCATGTTGGTGTAGTACAGAGCCAGTACCTGAGCTCATAGCATTCAACAAATTACTGATGAAGGAGACAGGGCTGTCGCCAGAGTTGAAGAGTCGAGGGCCGCGGCCTTCTATGGCATGAACCCAGTCGCTCATACCTTCGTTCCGGATAGGAATATCGCGACCTGTCGCACGGCCGCCTCGCTGAAGTAACGGATTGATTCCGTCATCGGCAACTCGGGGTCCAGCACCAGGACGATGTGATCGGTATGCGGGTACAAGGATTCGGTCACCGGGACCGGCGGGGAACATCCATGGGCTGAGACGATGAGTGTGGCGAATAGTGGGAGCTGCTGGCCCTTCATCCCAGCCCCCGCTCCATCCAAGATCTTGCATGGCATCCTCATCATCTTCCATACCTGGATCGTAGTGAATGTCTTCGTCATATTCTTCTTCCTCTTCTTCTTCATCTGAAGGGTTAGCAAATGTTGCGCCAAAACTGAATAGATGCGACCCTGCGAACTCAAGTAGAAAGAAGCAGCGCCATGATGAAAGCAAGAAAAGGAGTGCCGTGAAGAAAAGTAGAAAATGCTTACCATCCTCCGCCATCTCATCATCCATGTAGCCCTCCATATCCGCGCCCTGGCGCATGTGTTCAAGAAGTTGTGACCCATCGACAACGAAGCCCATGGGGCCAGATGGCATGTTTGCATCACCGTTCATGACACCCTGGATGTCGTTTTGATCGTCGCTCCAGTCATCTTCGTGGTCTTCGGCTAGGCTACCGCCTTCGTCGTCACCAGTAACCTCCTCGAGGGCTTCCAAAGCCTCTATAGCATCATCTTCGTCGATTTCTTCCTCCTCGTCATCATCATCCTCGTCATCGTCGTCTTCATCCATGTCATCGTCATCATCCTCTTCCTCATCTTCATCTTCGTCCTCCTCGGAATCATCATCAGACCCCATACCTTCGCCGCCAGCGTCTATTTCGATCTCGACATCGACATCGCCAGGCAAGCCTTCAATCTGGCCCATGCCGTCAATGTCCATCTCTAGGATTTCTTCGTCATCAGAGATGACGTCGTCGTCGCCAATGTCGGCTTCGTCGTATTCCATTTCGTCCGCATAAGGGTCGTCAAACATGATTTCTTCACCATCCTCATCTTCAGAGTCTTCGTCAGACTCAGAGTCATGAGGCGGCTCGAACATGCCAAGGGTCGAATTTCGAAATAGATCCGGCGTATCTTCACGAGTGTTGTCAATGAGATCATCATCAGATGCTACTGAGATCTCATATTCATCCGCTGAATCCGGGGCAGAAGAAGTATCGTAGTGCATGCTCAAGTCCATGGCAACATAGCACAACCACTTAAGAGGCTTCAAGATGTACTTGACAACACGCTTCGCATTCGGGAAGTTGAGGTCAATGTCCGAAATGGCTGTGGTCAGGATCGTGATGAAATTCTTCTCATACATGATCTTGGCCATTTGCTTCAGATTAGGGGTCAAGTCGGCGTTTTGGGTAAGTAGCTCGCCATTCGGACGCTGCGAGACCATTCTGGAGAAAATGTCGGCAATATTGAGTAGCCTTGAGTACTTCAGATCCAGAGGCTCGTCTGAGGCACTCGCATCCTTGAACGCCTTCAGCGCATGCTCAAGCACAAACTTGCGTACAAATAACAAATCGGTCTCTGACTCGATGTAGGGCGACTGAGTTGAATCAGTCTTGGGAATAGTGTATTCGCCGGTCTTGTTACAAAGAGAGACGATGACGTCGATTGCGCAATTGGATGTCGCCACCTTCTTCTTGAAGTTGAGATCGCCTTCATGATTCAGAGTTCCAATCGGTACTAGGTTGTTAAGCATGTAGTTGAGTACACCAGAACGAGGCTTCGACGGCGTGACTGTGTAAGGATCGGCCTTTCTTGAAAAGTTGATGAACTCAATCTTGGTGCGATTGTAGCTCTGCAACAGCTCCGCGAGACACTTTAGAATGAAGCAGCGATAAATATAAATCGGATGCGCGTCGGCCTTGAAAGTGGCTTTGTCGTATTTGCTTGGCTCTGCAGGCGCAGTTGCAGGTGGAGGGGTTGACTCAGGCGTGGACTGTGAGCTACTCCGGACCTCTGCTGGAGCGACAGGTGTGACGGACGGCGTAGTCGCTTCAGTCTTTGGTGACTCCACCTTGTCGTCAACATCCTTGTAGGCTAGCAGCTCACATAACAGATAATGAATGATACCGTCAGGATTCTCCATGACTGGCACCTTGAGATCGGAGGTTTTGGTGCGACCAAGCGAGGGCTGTTTTGGGACTTCACTCGACTCCTTGGGTTGGTCCTTCTCGGCGGTAATCTCAGAGGGCACGCCGGTGTCGAAAGACTCCTCAACAGGTGAATCAATCTTCTTGAGGATCAGAGTCTGAGGTCGCTGGTTTGGGTCGAATCGAGCTAGTTGGAGCTTCTCATTTGTGACTTCGACGAAGATCTCAGGCGCGCGAATAGCAAGCGCAAACATTTGCCGAGTGTAGCCGGTAGTATCAGTCTGTCTGCGATCTCTAGTCTCAAACATCTGTTGGATTTCTGTGCGCATGATCTGTCGTATCATTGCTTCATCCTCAATCATGTGGCGAAGCACAATCATGAAAGCACTTCGAAGGCCTTCATTGGTGACACCAGCGAGTTGCTTCACCATGAGGAAGAGACGCTGAATGTTACGCTTTTCTGCAAGACGCATGGCAATCTTCCGTGTGCGAGTGAGCATGACTAGCACGCGAGTGACTGAGAGGGCCAGCGACTCGTCCTTGCCGATCCTTGGTAACATCTCGATTATCGCATCGAACAGCTGGTTCTTCTCCTCCACGCCTACAATGGGTTCTGGCAGCTGGTCGACTGTTTGGGTTTCGGTGGTATCCTCAGTAGGCGGGGTCCATTCAATTTGAGGTGGGAGTTGATCTTCTGCTAGTAGGCGCTCAACAATGAGTAAGACCTGTCCAATCCAGGGTGACGAATCCTCAGTTGTTTGATCGGGAAAGATTTTCACGAAACCCAAGAGGGTGCTGAAATTATCCTTCAGCTCTTCGACGATGACTTCGTAAAAGTACTTGTCTTGAAGCACCAACGCCAGCAGATGCGCAGAAGCTGCAATCTTCTTTCCTTGTGAGCGGAAATCATCCTCGCTTTGTAGCGAGATGAGGGACTGAACAAGTGTAGCTCCAATCTCTGCTCGCATGGAGCTTGACTCAGGCGACTTCATGACTGCCGCAGAAATGAGATCCGCCAGCTCAAAGGTCACATCTCCATGGGAGTTGAGAACGTCGAGAGAACGGTCGACAAGGCTCTTGCGAAGTTTGGAGCGCTCTTCATCCAACTGGTCCAAGGCAACAAGCTCCGTAGAATTTCCAGTGCCCATGCGCTTCTGATAAGCCAAAGCATCGTGTGGGGTAGGGGTGGCTTGAGCAGGTTGGCTTTCAGGAACTGGGGTACTGGATGCAGGCACCTCTGGCTGCCCTATAGCGTCGTCCGCATCCTCCATCTGGACAGATTGCGTGTCTGGCATCTCAGACTCTTCTTCATCTTGTGTCGCATCGCTGCTAGCAGTAATACTACCACTGTCTGCAGACTCAGGCACAACCACCTCGGCACGACTTGGTGACGCAGAAGGTGGTCCGCGCGCTTGAATCTCGTACTGTGGGATCGGGTTTCTTGAAGCGTTGGGGCGGCTTTGATTCAGGCAATACTCTCTAGCCATGTTGAAGTTGTCGCAGCATCGATATAGTGCTTCCTCCGCAAGCGATTCGGGAAATTCCAGGTCGATCAAGCGTGCCGTATAATCTCCGTTGCGCGGCGTCCAAGGCTTAATGATTGGCTTATTGCGCTTTGGAATCTTGTCAATGCTCTTGTAGGCACCGTGTTCGCCTTCGCACTCGAGGACCGATTTGAGTATGTTGATTGAGGTCTTCACAATGGATGTGGTCGCTTTGTCCATCAGCTCTGAGTTCCAAATCTTCTCCAGAGGCTTGATGACGGCATATCGCAACTCCACGAGGAATTGCGCGGTTGAGAAATGATCAGCGCGTTCCCTATCACGATCCGGACGAGTCTGCATTGCCGAAGTCTGTTGCGATTCTCCTATCACTTTGAAGTTGATGATTTGGGCATAGAAGGCGAGAATGATCTTCAAGCCACCCAGTGACAGATTCAGGAGGCGCTGATTAGACTCTTCGCTAGTCGCCTCAGTCTTCTTCTGTGTAATCTCAAGCGCAGATTCGTAAAACTTGTCCAAGATCAATCCAAGTTCTTTGAAGCCACCTAGATTCCTAAAGGACACCAATAACAAGGTCAGCGACTGGGGCCGATCCATATTAGGATCAATCATGAGCTGAGACAGCGAGGTAAGTATGACGATCCAGTATGCGTAGCGATCTTCGATGGAGTCTGCTTCAATAGGATTCTCAAAAGTGAGCTGGTCAATGACGGCTTGAGCAAGCTGATCAGCAACAACCGTGGCACATTGTCGCTGATAGGCTTCGAGACTGCGTCGGAACAACAGCAATTTGCCAAGTGATTGGAAGAATGGTGCGATTTCCGTAGGAATCTTGCTGAGGAGGTTTCGAAGAGTCTGCGTGTTCTTGAACTGCGCGTTGTTCTGGATTGAGGTTGCCGGGTCAGGCGCAGCACTATGAGAGGCGGCGTTATCCCCACTAGGTGGGAAGTCTGAAGCAATGTTCCCAATATGGAAGAGGTTGTCGGCTTCGTCGTTGCCGAAGCCAGAGCTCTTAACTCTGGTCTCTTTCTCCCACTCAGTGGGTATATACCGCTGAAGCAGAAGTTCCTCCCAGACACAGCTGCGATGAAGCTTTCCAAGGCTGTCGACGAGGCGAGCGTACATATCTGCAAGGTTCACTTGACTGGATACGTTATGAGCAGACCTTGTACTGTACATCTGGCTCTGGAAGGTCATGGTCATGGCTCCGACAAGTGTGTGCGCTGTGACCAATGCCTTGACGAAGAAGGTGCCCTGTTCCAAGACCTCGGTATTGTCAGAAGAACCAGTACCAGTGAACGGCGCAAAGAAAGCTTGCTTCCCATTGTGATTCAGCAACGGCTGAAGACGCTCCAGAGCCTGTTGCGTTCGTTTGATGAGCGAAGGCACCGCAATATGTGGCTTCTGCTCAACCAAGACTTGGACGACGCGACCAAACTCCTCACTCATGCTACGAGTCTCAGTAGACTTGGGATCGAGACAAGCTAGGCTGGAGATGTCGAGGATGGATTCCACGCCATTGGCTTCAATGTAGGCAGCGCACATGGCATGGTTGGCAAAAAAGCCAGATAGGAAGCGACATAGAACTCTGATGTATTGTCCAGTGGTTGGGCCCTTGGCGCTGTCCTCCGTCTCGGTGATCTGATCAATGGCCACTGGCTCGTTGGATGTCTCAGTCTTGCCTTGCTCGTCTGCGTCCTTCATCTCAACGTCGGTCGTGGAGGCTTGAGAGGAACGCCCGATGACATGCTGGGCTTGGGGTCCAACCAGTGCACGGCGACCACCAGCAACAAAAAGCTTCCCAGAAGCATCCTGAGTCCAGAGCTTGGCACCAACGCCTTCTTTTTCGGCTTTGTCTGCACACGATTGCACCACACGTGCAATCAGTTCACTGAGGCAAGAGAGCACACGAGCCTTCAGAGGCGGATGGTGGCGGACCAACTCATCGAAGGAGTTTCCGATCAAAGTAGGCATCTCCGTGTCGGCGTCGAGTGCTTTAATGTGCGCAGGGCTCTCGAAAATTTCGAAGAAGCGTTTCAGAGCGGTTGAAGATTGAAAGAGCTTCATGCCAGCCTCAGCCAAACAGATTGCACCGAATGCAGGTGGCAGTGTTGATATGGCCTCAGCAACAGGTAGGATGCCTTCTGCCAACTGTGCTCCTTCAGCGCGGGGTGTATATGTCCGAGAGGTAGGTGTCGTAGTGTTTTCACTATCGATCTCAGCGGCCGTTGCTTCGGAAGCGGGCTCCCCTGCTACCGTCTCCAAGAAAGCCTCGCTGAGACCAGCTTCAGCAATGACCTGGTAGCTGGTCGGCTCATTGTGGATAAAGCTTGTGAGGATCGTGACTGCCATACTCCAGACCGTTGAACCATAGATCTTTGCGTTGGACAGGACGATACGAAGGCCACTGAGAAGCTGGGGTGAATCGATCAGATTACGCATCAGACGATCGAAGTTGCCGCCAGTGTGCGACATCATGTGATTCAAAAACTTGAACAGCCAGCGGAGACTTTGTTGGTGGTAGAATGGGATTCGATAGTCAGTGAGCTGTGTCTTGTACTCTTTGGGCATGCCCTTGTCTTCTTCAGCCAGCTTCTTCGAGATGTCGACTTCATATTGCATCAGATCGGCGATGATATCAAGCCCCTTGGCGCTCACAAGGGCAGAAAAGGCATCTCGGAGGTTGTACACGAAGGTGTCAAGAAAGTTGAGGATCTTGGGGTAATTGCGCTCTGCCTTTTCTGTACGCAACTTGAGCACCTCAACAAGTATCTCTAGAAGACCTGCCGCAACCATCTGTTCGCCAGTACGAGCCTGGGAGGTGGGTAGAGTGTTCAGAAGAGCGAACAGAGCCTCGCGCCATTCGTCCTCCTCCAAGTCGTTTGGAGAGCTAGTCTCAACGCCAAGTCCAGCAACAAGCTTACGAACAACATAGAAGAGCACACCGTGATTAACATTGACGCTCAAGGCCGCACAAATCTCGACGGATTTGGTCTTGTGTTTCGCAAGAGCTTCCAGCGCATTCAAGGTGAAGGTTTGAAGCTCCAGTGAAACGCCGTTCTCGCCGTTACCAGGAGGGTGGACTAATTCAGAAAGCTGATATGCGAGTTGTAATCGACGTGGCTCATCTGCGTCTTGTTGGCCCAATTTCGCGTGAAACTCCTTGTCGCCGTGCACATAGCCCATGTTGGAGATGGCGAGTAAACGAACCGCAACTGCATCATCGCGACCCGCCTTACCGCTCGAAAGCATCTTTGCAACGCGCAGCTTGTGCAGCAATTCATAGTGTACGCTCTCCGGTAGATTGGCGAGCCCGTGCCGAAGCAACTCATGAATGTCAGATTGCGCCACCTTTTCGGCTGACAGCTCATATGTCTTGGGGCCGTTGGCTCGACTGCTGGGTTGGCCGGGCGTGAAAGCGGGAGTACTGGGCGAATCGGTGGTGGGCGCTGGCTGGGTGGGTCGTGGGGTCCGGTTAGGGCCCATACTTGAGGTTCTTCGCACTGGCGTGGGTGTGGTAGGGGCCTCGGTCGTTGTGGTTTTGGTCCCTTCTTCGGACAGAGTGGTCGGTTCGTAATAGGAGATGAGCACGCCACCAAACTCCTGCCGGAGGGAAGAATCTGTAAGAGAGTACATGCCAACCAGATCAGAACCGCTGATTCGGTCAGAGCCAACCGCTCGCTCTCCGGATGCCTTGTCTTTTCCTTTGGCAGATGGCGTGCCGAACAGTGGCGCGACCGCTGTAGGCCCCTTGGCAAAAGGGGCTGACAGCTTTTGTACCTTGTCCAGGTTGATGTTGTAGTGGCTCGAAAGCAGCGACAGGTGTAGAGTGGCGGGAGCAAGGCGCATACGGGCGGCATGATATCGCTGAGCCAATCGGTGGCCGAGGCGAAGCGTTGTCTTGAGTAGCGAGGTCGAGGTGGTGTTGAGAAGTTTATCCAGGCGCTCGCTGCTAGAGTACAGACTACGGTTGCCGCAGTTTTCCAAGAGCATACGCGTGAAGCTGAGGATCTGCTCAATCAACTCACGGTCGCCGTCCTCTGACACGTGCAGGGTATCTAGAACGGCGTCCGTAGTGGTTTGATCGGAGCTGGCGTTAGCCTCGACAGCATCGCCCTTGAGCAGCAATCGGCGCTGGAAAGGCTGTGTTTGCGGTCCATCTACCAGCCCATATTCCTGGTTGAAAAGCTCGAGGATGTGATCGAAGCGGTTGAGCACGGGTATCCAGTGATGTGTGTCGGGGAGGGGGAGGGTGAGGGTGAGGGTTGGTTGGATCAAAGGTCAAGCAAGCTACAAGCAACCAAGTTTGAGCCCTGAGAGCAGTTTCCGCCGCAATCATGAAGACAGACTGGTGGGGCCCGTGCGGCCCGGGGCTACCTAGCGTACCGCCAACTAGAGTAACTCACCATCGTCACGAACAGAACGCGTGCCAGCAGGGAATCAACGGGCAAACGCCCACCCACCCACCAGAAATCAACATCTCCAGCCCTTCTACCATGTTCCGTGGTCACAACCGATATCCTGTGGGGTTGTCGAATCGTTGGATCTTGTGTTTTCCCAGCACGCATTGCGCCGGCTCTCATTGGATAGGCTGAAAGGGTGGGACGGTTGAACGATGGATTGACCGTAACAGTGACTACCTAGGTAAGTTACTATACCTTGACTACCTCTAGGTAAGAGTCCAAAGAAATCAACCACGGCGGCTCTGACTCGGACTCTACCATTTCCTATCCATTCAACGTCGTCCATCTCCCATTCCCTTTCCCTTTCCCTTTCCCTTTCCCTTTCCCTTTCCCTTTCCCTTTCCCTTCCCCGTTCCCTTTCCGTCTCCCTCTCCTTCATCCACCAATCTCACAGTCTCCTCCAGCACCAACAAATCCCGCTCAAGCATCTCGGCCCAGTTCTGTATATCCCCCACCTCATTCAGCTTCTTCGTGCCATTCTGCAGCAACTTGTCCCACTCCGCACTCTGCTTCGCCAGCCCCGCCGTCTGTCGCGCAAGCTCCTTCTCCTGCTTCGATATTGCGGCCGCGTTGGCGTGTAGATCGGCTGTGCGAGTGCGCATTTCATGATCGAGCGAGGCACCAACCGAGGAGAGGGAGGCGGTGACAGCGGCCCGGGCTTCGGCTGTGCGGCGCGCCGTCTCTGCAGCCGTGGGTGGTGGAGATGGCATTCTCACGTCCAGTAAAGGCTCAAGGGGAACTAGGGTGAAGGAAGGAGTTAGGAGTTGTATTTGTGTACAATGTTTGCTGTGTTTGTTGTGTTGATGATCGTGCCACTGCGAGGTTATCAAGCTCTCAGATGGCTCTACAGCCATCACATGCGCAGGTACACAGCCAGCCTATTGGCATGATTCGTGGTCAAACATTCTGAGCAACCTCCCAGTGCTGTTAGGCTGCGTCTAGGGGGAACTGCATGAGGGTGTAACGGAAGCTAATGTGAGTGGCCGAGAAGGGGATACCACACAAGCTGGTAGACATCGCCCGGTGTGCCCTACTTAGGTACCGGTACAGTACACTTGGATATCCGTACTTCCGCAAGGCTTGAAACCACAGCCTAGCCACGTGTACAGCGAGTACGACATCAACGCCCTTTTACATGTGCTAGTCTGGTTGATGAAGCAGAGGAGTCTTCTGAGCCATCACAGAGCTATACAAAGCAACTAGCATGCGCCAAAGAAACATGACTAGGAGATGAGCTTATATACTCCTCTGGTAGACTACCGGTACCGGGCAGTCACTCCTCCAGCTGCATTCTTTTTTTTTATAAAAAAAACCCCCCGCTATCACATTAACGACTTTGCTCATCCAAGAATTTACTGCTGAGCTACTGGCTCCAACATACACTCTTCAGTGTCAACACACTTCACAACACTAAGCAGACACAACCCCTCGTGAGCACGGCAACTACGGCGCGGGGCAATCATCATCATTCTAGACTTGTCAAACCTATCGATAAGCCACGTGACAGCCGCATCCTCTTCCACAGTTGACCTCACCCCCAAGAATTCCCAACTCCTCCAACACTAAACTCCACCTACATGCCATATAAACAGCCACAAACTCGTCCACAACGCCTTCAGATCACATACACAACATTCAAATCACCCCACATCTCTTAGCAATTCACAATGTACAATGTTTCTCTCATCACAACAGCACATGCATACTCATTCTATTCTCCCACCTGCACCTCGTAGTACACCTACGGCCATACATGCCCTAACCTCCCTACATCCACCACACCCCCATCCCCTCCCCTACCCACTCATATCCCCCATCACACCCCCTCCCATCTCAACCCCCCCGCCCCACCATCCCTCCAACCCCCCGCACAAACCCCCGCAAAACCCGCATCGGCAGCGCATCCTCATCGCACAGCACGCGCCAGTCGCGCAGGACCATGGTGAGGGAGATGCGCAGTTCAAAGCGGATATTGTGGTCGTGGCGAAGGGAGGTGTAGCATTCTTTTACCGGGGGTTGTTGGGGCGGGGAGGGGCGGGGAGGGCGCTGGTGATGTTTAGTTTTGGGTTTGGGTTTGGGTTTGGATCGGGGTTGGATTGTACGTGGGGTGTGCTGACGGTGACGCTGTTCATGTTGGTGACGATGTTGGGGCTGGCCTCGATATAAACATGAACCTGTCAAATCATCACGTACATCAACCTCATCCCCATCAAATAATGGATTCATCACCCCATGCAACATACCTTTTGCCGCACAATTTGTCACCTCGCTGCTAAATCCCACGTCTAAAAGCTTCCTAGACTGCGCCGCCGTCTCTGGCGGCACGGGCGGGTATGGTGGAACAAGGGTCTTTGTGTGGACTACAATGCAATGGCAGGTTTGACATGGCAAGCACTCATCTCCCGCGGAACCGGTACAGCGATGGGGTGCGGACGATGGCATTGCGATTTCACTCGTCGGTAATCTGATCAGACTGGTGAAGCGAGGGGAGTGAGTCGGGTGATTTGGATGCAGGAGGAGGGGGTGGGAAAGGACGGATATAGCTGGAGACTGTGCATTGTGAAGGTTCAAGGTCAGATTATTTGTAGCGATGTTTGGTTGAAATGTCCTCATGTACAATGTGAGTTGTTCACAATTGTACCAACTTGCCCGTCTTTTAACGACTCTGCAAGCCCGGCGGTCAACACGACACCACTCGTTGAATCCAGACATCCCACCTCCCTAGGCAAACCCGAAAAACTTCATATCATCCGCCCCTCGAATTGGCACTGTATGCCCGACCCCTTGCGCATAAATGCCTTGAACATTCGGTCCATAAATCGTCCTCGTGTAACCGCTCTGGGGATCATTTGCCTTTGTGCTCTCCGGCTTGTCATAGTTGTAGCCAAACACACCCGCCCACTGCTTCATCGTCTCCTGGTAGTTCTGAGGCTTGAGCGTCGAATCCGAACTGCCGTGGTACACTTGCATGCGCGGCCTAGGTCCAGTGTAGCCCGGGTACATGTTCTTTGCTACGGTAGCCCAGGCAGCAGGTGTGGCGGTGGATTGGCCGTTGGCGCAGGTGCTGTTCCAGGCATCGACGCCACCGGAGGCGGAGACGAAGCAGCCAGCATTGACACCGGAGTATGGGATGGCAGCTTTGAAGAGGTCGGGGTAAGTGGCTGCTAAGACGTTCTGCCGTTTCATTCATGTTAGTTTCATGTTGTGGTGTGAGGGGAGGAAGATGGTTCCACGTACGGTCATCATAGCACCGCTTGAACTCCCAGTCACAAAAACTTTTGACTCATCGGCCTTGTACTCGCCTATAGTCCACTTTACCATGTTCGCAATCGTATTCGAGTCTCCACCTCCCTCATGCGTGAGCGTTGCCTTGCTACTGACATCCCAGCATGTTCCCGAGTGCGGAGAACTGGGGTAAATCACTATAAATCCGTACTGTTCCGCAAGGCTGCTGTAGGGTGATCCGGAAAAGTAGGCCTGTGCCGATCCAGTGCAGTAGTGAATGGCGACGACGATGCCCGGAGAAGCAGCGAGTTTCTTGGGCACGTAGATGTAAAACCCAGCTTTGGTGGGTGCGGCGCCAAAAGAGGTGACTTGTTGGAGAGAGCCGGGAGTTGGGGCGCGGGCGGAAAGTTGCGGGGCTGCGCTTGTAAATGAGAGGGAGAGCGTCGCTGTTAGGAGGCTGAGGAGACGCATGGTGGGCGAAGTATCCGACTTCCTTGTGTTGTCTGAAGGTGAGGCTCAGCTTGGCATAGAGTAAAGCCAGCTACTTATACCGCACAACCTTCGGCAGAAATAGGTAGAACGGTTGAAAGGAAGCATGTTGATTGATGCGAGAAAGAAGACAAATATGCGCTATGATCAGTTACATGAAGATGGGGTCATAAGGCTTTGAATAAAGTGTTTCCATCCCCACGTTTGGTATCTCGAGGGTAAATATGAACAAGTGTGATGTTTGATAGGCTGAAGAATGTTTTAGTCGTTTCGGAGGATGTAATGTTTGATTAATTAGTTTGCCGCTGATCCTAGTCCGGCAATGGTCATAGGCGAGGTCTGGTCTTGGGCCTTGAGCTTTGCCATGTCTTTACCCGGTTCATAAAGTCTTTATTCATAGTAGGGCCCGTATGATGACCCCACAAGTACCATACTTTGTGTGAGGGAGGGATACCCCGAAGATGTGCAGAGACATCGTGATTCATTCCGGGAATAGCAATCTTTGAGGCACGAGCAATCGGGTGCAGGTGCCTTTTGGGTTCTTCGCGATCTAGCACTGGGGCGCAACAAGGCATGGGCGTCTGGTGATGTCGGCGCCATAGTGCGCATTTCCTCGACTATTGATCCTTTGCGGCCCGAGTCTGGTAGAGTGCTGGGGGACGGCGGAGAGATCACGTCGAATTCCAGCGAGGCCCTGCTCTTGGTCCTATCGTCCAAGCATCATCCATCCTCTCACCGTCCAGTCCAGACGCCTTCGCCTCTCCCCAATCCACCAAACGTCAGACCTCCCATAACACCTCCTCCCCCTCCGCCACCACCACTCCTTCCTTCATTCACTGGCCTCTTCGCGACACGCCCCTGCGCCTTTACTGCCTGCACCACCTTGTCAAGCTGTGTCTCGACCACGACGCCTCCCACTATCATCTCTCCTAGTGTGGCATGCAGTGTCTCGAAATTGAAGATGAGATCTAATTCGCAAACATTTTCGAACAGGCCGTCGAGTGCTTGCACGAAGACTTGTATGAAGTCAAGGAGGGCGAGAGGGGATTCCGTGGAAGTAGAGATCACGATGAAGTAGAGGGTTGCATAGTGGCGGTAGGTCACGAGAGACGGGGTGTCGTTGTGAGGGGTGGAGGGCGTGGAAGATTTGGAGCTGGAGGCGAGGAGGGGAGGGAGGCTGAGAAAGGGCTTAGTAGGTGTGTTGTGCAAGTGTCACATGAAGACTTACGGAAGGAAGTTACAAGCGGAGTTTGGGCGGTTAGCAACGAGGGTGAAGATCTCCGAGATGAGACGCTGCTGGACACTGGTTTCCTGGGAACAGGTTAACAGATGCGACCGAGTGAATGACGTAGGGGGGGGGGGGAGAAAGGTCTACCAGCTGTGTATAAAACTTTGTCAGACGGGGCTGGCCCGCATTGTTAAACACGAGGACTGCGTTTATCATTGTGCTTCTCTATTGGGTACAGTACAACGAATGTACCCGTACGTACGAGAAATGAGGCTGTATTGATGGCTACTCTATGGCTGGCCAGCCGTCAGGAGGAGAGTAGTGCGGGGCGGAGAGTTACTGCATGGGGATGGAGGGGAAGGGAGAGGGGAAGGAGGAGGTCCAAGCGCGAAGCAAGCTCGAAGTTGGCAAGCTGCACCTCCACATCTCTGTATCCCAGATAGTTAGTTACTCAGCATCCATCACCCGCCCAACCAGCCGACAGCCCAATCGTCCTCGTTTTCATTATTGCAATTGACATCACCCACATCCATCCATAATGAGACCGGCCACAAGACTCGCTGGTGCGGCGTTACGCCGTGCTGTTCGCACTCGCATGCCCGTCCCCTCGCCTGCCAATGGCATCATCGCCAGAGCTTCCATAGTCCGCAATGTCACCACCGTTCGCGCCTTCCAATCGTCAACGGGTTCAAGGAGTATTATGCCCGACGCCGAGAACCCGGCGCCCAAGGAGAGCGAGCCGATCGATGAGCCCAAGGTTGCGACAGGACTGACAGCAGAGGAGTTCCATGAGCGAGCAGACCACTATCTGAATGAGCTGGTGCAACGATTAGAAGAGGCACAGGAAAAAGATCCTGGCATTGAGGTTGATTACTCTGTATGTACAACTCCTCTAACCCCCAAACCCCGCCCCCAACATGGCTCTGACCACGACAGGCCGGCGTCCTTGAAGTGACTCTCCAAGAGAACACTTTTGTCCTCAACAAGCAACCCCCCAACAAGCAAATCTGGCTCAGCTCGCCCCTCTCCGGCCCGAAACGTTTCGATTGGGTCGTGTCGCAGGAAGGCATGGACTTCAAGGAGGGCGGTGGCGTTGGAGACTGGATATACCTGAGGGACGGCAGCTCGCTTACGGAGATCCTGAGGAAGGAGTTGGGCGTCGATGTCAGCGTCGATGATCAGGTTCCACGCTGATTGGTGTGAGCATGACGAATGTGTACTTCTATAATCACAAATGCCGGTGTTGGAGTTTGCTGGAGGGCTCTCCTGCGATACGACCAGATATGAATATTGTTAATATAGTGAATGCAAGTCCACTGACTGAGTCCTTGCGCCCTTGGTCCGCGTCGTCCATATACCGTGTCTTGGTTGCATAGATGAGTTTTCTTGGTCTCGCTGTATGGCTGAAATCTGATGGCTAGGTCTAGGCAGTAATAGCCGTCTGTTGGGGTGCGCTGCTCTTGTTCTCAGGAAGGTCAGACTGCAGTTTGTCAGTACTCGGACACCAGAGATGCAACTTCGTCTCCTTGGCTGCAACATACCGGATCGAAGATGATGCGAATCATCAAACTACAACTCGGACACCGCGCAATATCCTCTCCGTCCCGCATGTCGTCGAGCAGAATCTCAAAGCGGTCGCCGCAAGGACATGGGTGGTGATAGATGCCCAGGGCCTCGTCGTAGAAGCAGTCTTCGATTTCGATTTCGTCGTAGAGATTCACTTCTTCGTCTGCCATGATATCCAACTCTTTCTGTGCGTATGTGTGTGTGTGTGTATTTCTTTGCGCTTGCGACGAGGAAAGACGTGGGATTGTATGAAGTGTCGAGGGGCAGTGGCGGGCGTCTTTTTTGCCCGCACCACTCCCGCCGCCAATGCCAGCGACCAACCGCCCGTCAAGCCCGGCCTGCCCTAGTTGACGTTAGTGCCCAACCGTTATCTCCGACTCCAAGGTGAGCAAGTGCATGTACCCACCATGTAAGTTGACCCCAGACCATCCACAACGCAGGTCAAAGACTCGGGACAAATCGAGGGCTGCGCTCAACAACAGCCCGCCCTGTCCTCGACACTCCGCCTTACCATGGACACAGACCTGCCGAACTGAATTCCCGCCCAGCCCGCCGCAACGATGGGCGACGTCGAGTCCGCAACCGCCAAGCTCGCTGAGCTGCTGCGACACCCGGAGGACCTCGAGAAGATTCCCGCCCTCAAAGCCGAGTTCACGCGCAAAAAGGCCGCTGTGGACGGCCAACTGCGCCATGGGCTGAAAGAGCAGCTCGAGCTCACGCAATCGGGCATGTCGAGCATCACCGAAGGCCAGCGGACCGTCAACCTCATCAAGGAGGAGATGATGAAGATTGATAAGCTATGCGCTGAAGCCCAGAACATGATCCAGGACTTCCCACACATCAATCTGGTCGCGCAGACGCATAAGAACTTTGAGAGCGTGGAAAAGATGCGCAACGATATCCAGACGTTTGAGGCACGGCTGGAGAACCTAGAGGCTCTGCTTGCGCGGGACGATGAGGACCCGGCCAACCAGCCGTATTTGCTGCAGATTCACTATGGTCTGACGCAGTTGAGGGACATTAGGGATGAGGCCATGGATCAGATCAAGAGTACAGAGGATGCCTCGACCGAACTGATTGATAATCTCACGCTGGAGAGTGGGGTTACCGTCCAGGATTTGTTTGCGAGGTTGGACGATGTGATTGAGTGGTTCGACAAGCATATTGGAGAAGCTTGCATAAATCTCATTGAGCTGGTGCAGACAGGGAATGATGGCATGGTCGTGCGGCTGGCTGTGGTCGTGGAAGAGGAGGAGAAGACGGACAAGAAGGTCAAGGCACTACAGGACGCTCAACGCGAATACAAGGACCTCGCCTCTCGATTCAAGTCTATTGCCTCGGGGCCCAAGGAAATACGCGGCTACAAGGACAAGTTCATCACATCGATCGAATACGTCTGCAAGGCGCAAATGGAAGAAGCCAAACAAAACTTCATCGAGGACCCCGAGAAAATCGACAAGTACTTCAAATGGTATTTCAACAACCTCAACACCGTCAAACTCGGTATGCAGAACCTCATGCCCAAAAAGTGGAAAATTCTACAGGTCTACACAAACATCTATCATAAGCAAATGCACGACTTTCTCATAAGCTTCGCCGACGACGAAAGCTTAGGGCCCCAGTACCTCCTCGCCGTCATCAACTGGGTCGACAAGTACTACGCGAAGATGAAAAAGCTCGGCTTTTCGGAAGAACAACTGCAGCCGCACGTCATTGACAATCGCAGCCCAGAACTCATCCGCACGTACCGCCAAGTCATCATTCAAGCCGTTGACCAATACGTCGACCGCATCAACGCCCAAGACCGGAAGGCCTTCCTCGATCAAGACCGAACAGCCTATGAAGTCAATCCGGACGGTATCTTTCAGACACGATCTTTGGGCGACATCTGGACCCTCTTCAGCCAGAACCTCGCTGTGGCGGCCTCGAGTGAGCGTGCCGATGTGGCAGAGGGTGTCGTAGACTCCATGTTCCGCGCCCTCATCACACGCCAACGAATATGGAATCAACTCATCACCGAAGAGAAAGACAAATACACAGGCGCCAACCCTTCCTTGGACGGCGAGGGTGTAGCCGTCTTCCAAGAATGGCTCGTCGCCATCGCAAACGACCAAATCATTTGCATCGACGACGGCGAAGAACCCAACGCCCAAGCCTCCTTTGTCACCGTTTTCGAGCGCGAAGTCACACCCCTCGTCTCCCAGACTTACCTCTCCGACCGTCTTCCCATGCAACTTGACGAGCTGCGAAACGGTTACATTGACATATCATCGTATTGCATCCAGACCTTCTGCCAACTCATCTTCCTCACAGACTTCAAGCCCATTCTCGGCAAATTCTTCACACCAGAATGGTACACTCGCACAGACATGGCAAGTATCATCACCACATTTAAAGATTACCTAAGCGATTACGACGACCTCCTGCACCGCTCACTACGAGACTTGTTAATCGATTCCCTTGCCGACGAACTCCTCGTTCAATACCTCTCCTCCATCCGCAACAAAGGCGCCCGCTTCCGCCGCACAGACGCTTTCGCCGCCAAAATCAAAGACGATCTCATCACCGCGTTCGAATTCTTCCGCTCCTACGGCCAGCAGGGCATTGAAATCACGCAGCGCTGGCGCGCGGTCGAGTACTTTCTCAAGCTGCTCGAAGCGGATAAAAGTCAGGTGCAGTGGGTGTTTGTGGAGTTTAAGCGTGGGTATAGGGGTGTGAGTGTGGGCTGGGTGGAGGCGGTGTTGAGGGCGAGGGATGATTTTGAAAGAGCCATGTTGAATGCGGTCAAGGCCAAGGCAGCGGAGATGGTGGGCGAGGAGGGAGGCGAGGATCAGATTATGGGCAGGGTCAAGTAGGATGGCTATTTGTGGCGCAAGCCTGTGCGTGAAATGCTACAAATTAATACAAACGACATTCGAATCTACTGCTCCTGCGTGCTGCGCAACCTCATCCACCATGATTTATTCAAAGTCATCAACTCTCTCAAGACAATTCTCATGATCTCGCGACACACCGCAAATCCTTTTTCAATCTACCATACATTCCGGCATCCAATAAACGAAATCAAACACCCTCTAATGGTTGACATGTGCGGCTCCCCACTTCATCCCAAATCCAATCCAATTTCACCCTTCCCCCCGCCCTGGCACTTCTCCCCCATCCACTTTCCCCCACGACAGCGCAGACAAAGAAAGACGCACTCTGCAATCTATACCCAATTTCCCAATAGTCTGGGCAGCAAGAGTTTGGGAAAGGCACAAATCTGAATGCAGAGGTGGGAATTTCTTGGTTGCTCTAGCTGTGTGATTTTTTCTGGCTGTCGCTAGGGAGGCAAGGGTATGGTGGAGATGTGTTGGCTTATGTGAGGCTGGGGGTTTGGCGGGTAGATTTTGTGGGTGAGGTCGTGAGGTTGTGATGTGGTGGTTGAGTCGAGTTTATTGATATGTAGGTAACTTAGGTACATGTACATGTACTCTAGGTACAGTAACTCATAGTACTACATACCACATCATCACCCACCCAGCGCGTTGCCGTGCCCCCAAAACAAAGAGAGATCGCCAGGTACACATTCCCACGCACCGAGTCGTGCATGTTTCACCTGTAGGCCTAGGCTTGATTCGGACTAGGCGCATGGGGGGGGCTAGTGTGTTTCACATGGGAGGCAAGGGAAGGATCAAGCGCAATGGTGCCGTGCGAGGTAATTGTTTGTCATTAGAGGGTAATATATACATAGTAGGTTTGTTTCTTGTTATTTTTGGGCATGTAGAGAGGGGCGAGGAGGAGAGGGTTTGGAGGGCATGTGGAGGGAAAGGTGAGAGGGTGGGATGGCAAGTGAATGGGAGACCTCAATTACATCGCATTAGACAGTGCGGTTCTTGCACACGTATATCGAGTGTGTAGTAGGTACGGTACGGTAGATCATCGATGACGTTACAACTTCGATCGATATACGGGCACGTTTTCGTGTGCCGCAATGCACGGCAGTTCTCCACACCCATCTGTTCTACATACAAGCTACCCGATACCAGTACCATATTATCAAAGATAACTAGAATCTCAGTTTTAGCGCCCCCAATCTCCGCTATCACCAACACCCCCCCATGAAGCCTGTCACACAACCTACACCTTCCCACCAACGAAACCACCGCAAATAGAACATCCCCATGCCCGTCTCTTGCGCTAGACCCCCATGCCAACGAGGCCAACGATCACAGCACCGGCATCATGCTTCTTTGTGCCACGGCTTGTAAATTGAGGCACAAGGTGGAGAGACAAGGGGACACGCACCTTTGCCCCAGTCAGATTGGCTGAGAAATGAAGATCAGAAATCAAAACAAAATGAAGGCACCCGATTGCTTGTAGTTCAAATTGTAAAATTGTGTCGCAAGAGATATTGGCTGGGTATGTATAAGACTGCGTTGCTAGTGGAATTTCTTTGCTTTCTCATTCTCCCTCTGCTCATCCTACGATCGTTAGTCAACGTCTACGTCTACGTTGATAGCAGTATACTTACTGTAGTCACTCTTTTTTTAGAAAACTCACAACAAGTCTTGCTTTCTTTTGCGTCGACGCTATATACCCTCAATCAATCGTAACTTCTTTCTTCGAAAATCAACACTTGAAGCCCTACCTTCACCCACACACATACAAACACAATGCGTTTCTTCGCTGTCGTCGCTGGTCTCGCCGCTGTTGCGGCCGCGCAGTACGGTGCTGAGGCTCAGGCACCTCAGGAGTCTTGCGCTGCTCCCGTCACTGTCACTGTGACAAAGTAAGTCATCTTCTTTCCTCCCCTCCATCCATATAAGTTTGTTCAAGAACACACCAAACGCAAGACCACTTGCTAACAACCGCGCAGGACCATGGGCCACACTCCCTCACCCCCCAGCGTCGCCACCTCGTCAGGCACAGCTCCCTACCCCACGAACCCTCCCGTGGTCTCGCCTCCCGTTCCGGTTGGCACTGGAATCCCAACTTCTGCTAACACACCCCTCGGTGGTGTATCTCGTCCCACTGGAACCGGTGCGAGCATGCCTCCTATTCCTGAGTTCACGGGTGCGGCGAGCAGTGTCAGGGTTGGGGGCTTGGTAGCTGGTGTTGGAGCTGTTGTCGCGCTGATGATGTAGATGAAATTATGGGGTCATGGGGATGATACGATTTGGTTGAATGGTGGAGGATAAGAGAGAAGATGTTGGGATGTGGGGGAAAGTCTCGGCGCTGGAGGTCGATGGGTGGAGTGTATGTGTGCCACATGTACAGTTTACTTTCTTGATGCAGTAATTGCAGTTTTGGATGAGATGCTTTTGCATCTATTTGAGTTTTGGATATTCCCATGTTGTGTGCTGATTGCGGAGTTCCTATTACATTACTGTGCCTTTCTCTTTTTTTTTGGTTGCCAACGTCCATCCACTACCGTACCGTATGCCTTCGCGCTAACATGCCACCGACTTGGAAAAACACAAACGCCTATCTCTCACCCACAACTAGTGCAAACGCTACAAGGTATGGTGATTCCCACTCAGCGCATCCTCTAACCCCTCGTCTCCTAGGATTACTCTACGCATACTCCCAAACTCTCCACCTCCTATGAGAACTCCTTGGATAAAAGTAAACGTACGTCTCGCTTGACCATCGGCAAGAAGATTAGGAGTTTCAACAACTCGAGATGTCAGTCTCGATCCCATGAATCCGTGTCTCGCGAGCGCTGCGTGAACGTGATGATATGAGAGAGCAGCTGATGGGAGACCGGCGGAGCTGGGGAGAGGAAAGGGGTGCAGGATACCAATGAGCGGTTGAGGAGTTTCATTCGGAGGTTTGAGAGATGAGGATTAGAACGGACCGTTGGTAGTTCCCCGGTGTAAGATATGTGAAAATGCATCTTCATGCTGACTCAGTCCTTTTACTTTGGCCATGCCATTACGGTATCAGTCAATGATGATTTATTTCCAGGTTCGGTCATGACCATTCTCGAGCGGTGTGAGCACGAGGCCTTCCGATTGAAGAAATTTAATGCTTTTTTTCGAGCCTGATAATGGACGAGGCGAGGGGTGCTGTGTGCGCTGATGCGAGAGTGCAGTCTTTAATTCAACAACCGGACGATTCACGGGCGGCCTATGCTTGATTGACTTTGCTTAGTGTGTGAGAAGTTGAGGTGGTCGAACGTCGAAACAATAGCCGGGTGAATGTGGCGCTGTCGCGAACTTCGTCGCTACGATCATTCGGAAGTTTTCAGAGGGAAACTGTTGTCGGCGTCCCGGTCATGGAGGGTGGACTACGCATGGTGCACAGTAGGTACTTGAGATCTCGAGATTTTGAGATTTCTACGGTGTATAAGGATGATAATCAGTCCACGTCGTTGTTATGACACCTAACCTATTGTAGTACAAGCGACATGATTATTATTTTTTGCACAATTGTCGCCATGTTGTTGTCGAAACCTAGATGAGTGAAGCTTCATATAGTACCAAGGCTAGCCTAGGTACACTACGGTACAAAACCGGTTTACAGTAGCCATATTTATCTAAAGTAGACCACAAAGTAGTTTAAGTATAAGAAGTAAACCTAAATAGGGTTTACTATACTATATATTCTATAAAGGTAAACTACTTTTTAGTTTATATATTATTAGTATTATATATATTAACTTTAGCGTCTATTTAAATATAGTTTATATAATATACTTAATTATAGGTTATATAGTAGATAGATATATAGCACCTAGGGGTAAAATTTAGTATAGATAGAGGGCACGTAGTAGGCATAATTTAGTAGGGTTACTATACAGGAACTAGTACTAGTAGATACCTAGGTAGTATAGGCGTGTAGTGTAACAACTTAGGTAGGTAGGGCATCCAAAAGGTATCCTATACAACTTAAAGGCATATGGGAGTGCGCGTCTATATAGAAAAGGATAAGATTCCTACACTTATAGGTCTTATATAAAAGGACAAGAAGAATATACCTATCCTAACTATAGGCAAGCTATTCTCTATATATATTAGTAAGTTAGGCCTTTATTAGGCCTAACTTAGTATAAAATAATAGGTAGGTAATTCTACCTTATTATTACACTACCCTCTCTTATAAAGAAAGGATAGTCCCTATCCTTAAGATTAGGTTTAGATCTCTTATTAAAGAAAATGTTGCAGGAGGGATATTAACCGGATCACGGAGCATCTTAATCTGATTAATCCCGATTAATACCCCTATATGACCCACTATCTAATTAACTGCTAGCTTACTGCCAAGTGCCTAATAAAAAGCAGGAGCTCTAGTAAGGAAGGTTTACTAATTATTCACCTTCTAGTAAGGGTAGCTAAAGCTCTATATATATAAGTCTAATTAAAGTAGAAATAATCTAATAATCTATCTCCTAAATTATTCCTAACCTTAGTAATCTAATTTTCTATAGTTATAAGCCTAGTTCGCGCTTTACCTTATTAAAGATCGTCCTATCTATTTAAGCGTATTGTTTAACTTAGATACTAAGCTAGTAAGCTTTACTTTTTATACTATTTCTTAAGTAGAAGCTTACTTATTACTCTTTTACTATAAGTAACTAAATCTTAAAGGGGGATATCCTACTTACTAGATTAACTAACTAGCCTACCTAGTATATTTAATTTAGATACTATGCCCTAACTAAAGGGATCTAGGTAGAGGTAGACCCTAAGGCTCTAGATACTAAAAACCACTTTAAGAATAAACCTATTAAGCCTAATATACTAATAGATATCACGCTATCTAATATAACAAGCGAGCAGTATAAACTCTAAATAGCTTAGTACTAAGCCTGCTTATTAGATTAGGTATTAAAGTTATTAGTAATCTAAAACCTTTTTATATAGGTTAATAATATAGTAGATTAAGGGATCCTTACCCTAGCCTATATAGAGCTTGTTAATTAAGGAAGAGTAACCCTCTAAGCACTTATCTAAGTGCTCTGCAATAACCTAGCGCTAACTAATTTAAGCGCTGTAATACTAGCAAGATTATAGTATAAAGCTTATCTTACTAAGGTAAAAATAAGTAGCTAAGACGCTAATTGCTAGTAGAAGGAGTAGATAATCCTGTATACGCGAGCTAAGGTATATAACGTTCCTAATATTAAAGGATAGCTTATAGTATAGGATTATCTTAAAGCTCTATCTACTAGGATCTTACTAGATTAGGGTTAAACTATATTTTAAAGGATTATTAAAAAGTTAGTAATAGGAGAGCTAACTTATAACCTCCCGCAGGTTACTAAGATCTATTTATTACTTCTCTAAGAGAATAATATAAGATTAAGCTCTAAAGGTCCTAGAGTGTTTGCAATAATAGGAGCTCTACCTTCTAATTAACTAAAGAAGGAGTCTTTATACCTATATAGTAGATCTTACCTATAGAAACCTCTTAAATGTAAAAATATTATTAAAGCTTAGACTAATATAGGTAATAAGCTTACTACTACTTAATAATTAGAGATTAAGAAAAAGATTAATAGGAATTAAAAATTTAAAGAGTTAAGAAAAGCTCTAATTAAGTCCTATCCTATTAATTAAGATTATAGTAGTAAGGCAAGCGCAATCACCTATCTAGGTAGTATCTAGGCAGCACTAATTAACCCTATATTAATAGTAGAGAAAATAAACAGGATCTATTTAACTATAGACTTTTAAGCTTATGCTCTATTAAAGAGCACTATCTTTAATAATAGGGGTGCAGTGCACCTAGTTAATAATATAAGCTACCTAGAAGAAAGCTTGTTTAGATTAGTTAAATATAAGATAGTTAAAGCAGGAACTTAAGCTTTTCTAATCTTAGCTAGAGGGACTAGAGTAATCCCTAATACTCTTAATAGACTAAGAGGTCTAAAAATAGAAGATTTAGTGCTTACTAATATAGTGTTAGTAGAAGGTTTTTATATAAATATTATATTAGAAGCTTAATTACTTAAAGCAGGAGTTTGGTTCCTTAGGCTAGATGCTACCTTACAGTTTAGATTATTAGGAAAGAGCGTTGTATTAGCTAAGTTACTACGCAAGTTTAACTTAACTTTCCTAGAATATAAGCCCTCTACCCCTTATTAAATAATCTAAAGCATAGTGCCTAAATAACCCTAATAATCCTAGATAACTTACCTAAGATATAATAGTAAGGAGCTTTAGCACTAATAATTAGGCTATTTAGGACCTAAGGCGCTTAAAGCTCTAGTTAAGTTAGCAATAAATATTAGGATTAAAGGAACTCCTAGGAGCAAATGCGAGCACTGCACTATTATACATACCTAATAGGTTATATTAAGATAACTAAGGGAAAGATTACTACGTCTATACTACTAGGTATTATAGGATCTATTTAACATGCTAACAGGTATAGCTTATAAGTAATAGATCTTAGTATTAAAGTATAACTACTTAGGAAAGCTTTATACCTACTCCGTACTAATAAGCTAAAAACCTTAATAAGATTATGTGGGTGTTTAAAAATTTTAAGAGCTTAATACTTAACTAATATAAGCTTAGTATAGTTAAGATTATGCAAGATAACAACGTTGCAACGCTCCCTTAGCGCGGTAAATCTTGCTTTTAGATCTAGGTAGCTAATAATAGTATTAAAATTAAGAGCTTACCTGTATATACCTATAAACCTAATAGAGGAGTAGAAAGAGTAGAGTAGGAGATTATAACAAAATTAATTAAAATAAGGATTAGTGCTAACCTACTAACAAAGCTCTAGCCTAAAATTATTAAAGTAGTAACTTAGCTCTATAATATAAGCCTATTATATACTTATAATATAATATTACCTAATAAAGTGCTAGATTGTTAGTTTACTAGATACTTTAGGTGGTGGCAACTAGAGCAGATAAGGGAGGCAACTACTAATCTCTGCCCTGATTAGAGCAGAATATACGCCTATAGCTGTTAAGCTTACCCCCTTAACTAAGATTAAGCAGCTAGGCGTTATAAGAGGGTTTTTAAGGTGAACCCTTAGGGTTATATTAGATATCTAGTAGGATATAGAGCATCTAATATATATAGGATATAGATCCCCTTACTTAATTAGATTATTATAACGCGGAATATTACCTTTAATAAGGATCTTTTCTATAAAGAGAAAGATCTAAAGTAGCTTTAATAGT